AGGATAAACCTCCCCAGACTTATCCAATGGCTGTGAACATTTAAAACTAACACGAGTCTCTATAAGTGTCCAGTTTTAGGGTCTTACACAGAATCATACCAAWCAACAKGAATCAAACATGCACTTTATTTATTTACACTAAATAACAAAAGTATATCAAATCGGATTGAAGCTAAGGGCATACAAAACTGTCTAACATCTTTATCATGTAGTTAAATACTGTCCTATGTGCATATGCATGTCTGTATATGTAGTTAAATACAAGCACACATTAAAACCTAATTTGCTTCATGTCCATTATGGAAGTCTGACATCATGATTGTGCAGAAGTTGCAGTTACAGTCAGGAAATTCTTAGCTTCACAATCGGCATGCCTTCTATACCAGGAAAGATGGAAAATGGTATGGAGTGCTCTTGAAAATATATGCAAAACTGCAACGGAATGTGGTGACCTCTGGAGGGATGAAAAGCGGAATCTTGTTAAGAGGAGGGCTCTGTCTGACCTTCTGAAGCTTTTAGAATGTTGTGGGTTGCAGAGGCACAAACCTGTGAATTTTGAGGTACTTATATCAGATACAGTGAAATAAAATTGTAAAGTGCAACTTGCTACTTATTAGGTCAATATGATATGGTTTTGTTCGTTTTGAGTTCTAATCATTTGTTTACTTCTGAGACAATATTTTTAAGTCTGTTTTCTTGAGAAGAATTCTATGGTTTCAATCCATCTTGAACTGACTGTATTTACATGGCTAATGTGGCTTTTTCTAGGATCAATGCAAACCCAACCTACCCGGTATATGGTTACTTCAGCCCTCGTATGAAATGCAGCATCTGCTGCTGATAGAGGGTAAATTATCTTCTGGAGATCTTGATATTACTGCTTCTACCCAGTTTCTACCCAATGAAAGTGTTCTGTCAAATTGGAAAGTAGCAAATCAGTACTACTACAAAAGCATGGCATCAGTGCAGCTTTTGCGGCAGGTTTGCCTTAATTTTCACAAAGATTTCAGTCTGGAACAGGTAATTCTCCTGAAATAGACATCACTTAAATAATATATGGCCTCTATTTGAGTGTGGTTTGTCATCTTGCTATGTTCTTGTTAACTGCAGGTCAATAGGTCAGCCTCTTTCCTCAACCATCTCGTTTTAGTACAACAGGAACAACGGTCTGTTGCATATGGATTTTCTCGGCATCTAGAAAGATTGAGGAAATGCATGTTGTCTTTGAAAGATTTAGATTCAAAGTCAGCTGTTGCAGATCATGAAACTGGTTGTGACTTGGTCACCCCAAATCAACATGCCATAAATAAGTGCATGTGGCAGCAAAAGGTTAGCTTTCCTCTTGGAAGCATTAACTAATGTGGAGGTATTTTCACATTTGTTTCAGCTTAAAATGATTATTCTAATATTTTCCTCATTGAAGCAGCTACTGTTTGATAACCTTTGTTCCATGGCCCACGAGGCACATTTGTTGCTGAGAACAGTTGAGAGTACACATTCAAATACTTGTCCAAGTGTCAAGGCCACAGCCAACAAAGTTCTTCTTTTCATTGAGAAGTTTATTCCAGATTTTCAGAAGTCAAAGGTAGGAATATTTTCTTCATGTGCTGTTGTTAACTGATCAGCACTATGTTTTCAAACTTTAACCAATGGACAATCTGTAACAGGAATTATTAGATCACTACCTTCTTAGCAATAATGGCTATGTAACCACACAAGCAGATTCATTGCCTCTTCTTATTTCAAAACGAATGGAGCAGTTGGTAATAGAAAATTTTCAAGTCATAAATGATTTTGAGGGAAAGGTTCGAGCTTTCTGCATGCAACCTGCTAATAGATCACTAGAAGGAGTCCTGCTCAGTCATTTTCAAGATGTCTTCAACAAGGTAGATATGTTCTGTGTTGCTCAATGCTAGATGCATCTTTTCCTAATTTGTAGAATTCAGTCCTGTTTTGTTTAGAATGGAATTCAGTGGCCTTTGTACACAATTACACATATTTTGTTTCTCGGATGACTCTTGGTAGAAACATCTCCTATGGGACTTCATTTTCCATATTGTGCATTGAGAATGTTAGAACAAGAACTTGAAAAATAAAATAAATTTTGCAGGCCAAGGTGATAATGAAGGAGTTCTATTCAATTCTGGATTTAAGAAATCATACAGTAATTGCCTCTGAAGATGGCACTGCTTCTACTGAAACATTTGCTGAACTTGATTCTGCATTTTCTGAGTCATTTAAGGAAACATTAAGAACGATTATGGAAGCTTTTGGAAAAATAGGCTTGCCAAGTAATGGTTATACTCTTCCAGAGGAGTCCGAGGGAAATGTTACACTGTGGAAGGTTCTTTTTGAATCATATGCAGCGAATCTGAGGTTGGATCTTATATGTGATGAAATTGTTAAAACACTCAACCATGCGGTATAGATCTATCCTTGCTCCATCTTTAGGTTATATATATATATATATATATATATATATATATATATATATATTACCTCTTCTGATCTTCATTTGTATTAATGTGCTTTCAACAGAAAAAATTGGTCGACCATTCTGGGCATCAAAATACAAATTTATGCAGCCAAATAGTAACTTACCTCCATCATTTACGCGTCTTCTTGGAGATTGTATTGAATCTTGGTGATGGTCTCCTACTTGAGCTTTTAGCAATGCACAGAACAGTAAGTTGGACTTGACCTCTTTGATCAGTCTAGTAAATTTTATACTTGGAACTTGACCTCTTAATTTGCATGCAGGTAGCAGAGATAACACATATGCTTGCAGACTTGTTCGCTTCACTATATTCTCAAGGATTCGGTACTTCTGCAGAAGAGCAGGTGGATGATACTGGGGATGGAATATCTCAAGATGCAAAAGGAACAGGTATGGGGGAGGGTGTAGGTCTAAATGATGTGAGTGACCAGATAAATGATGAAGATCAGCTTCTTGGGACTAAGGTAATATTGCTATTAAGCATGTCTTCTTCCTTTCCTTCTCTCTCTTTCTTCTTGGGACTAAGGTAATACTGTTTATATGTATTACAAATTTAGCGTGTGTTTCATAATTTCTTTATCTTCCATACTGCTGCAGTCAAGCGAAGGACAAGATGCCTCAAATGAGGACCCTAGTAGGAACAACAAAGGGATAGAGATGGATCAGGATTTTGCTGCTGACACATTTAGTGTAAGTGAGGACTCTGGTGATGATGGAAATGAAGATAGTGAGGATGAGAATCTTGAATCTGCAATGGGGGATGCTGGGAACGACAGAAAAGTTGTTGATGAGAAACTTTGGAATAAGGATGAAGATGGCTCTCCCAATGACACAAATGAGAATTATGAATCAGGTCCATCTGTCAGAGACAAGGATTCTAGTTGCAGGGAGCTCCGAGCAAAGGAAGACAGTGCCTCTATGAATGAATCTGGAGAAATAAATGCTGACGAATCTGAAAAACAAAACAATGAGGAGAGTCACAATGATCCTGATGATAATTTCAACACAGATGACATGAAGATGGACAAAGATGCAGCTTTTACTGATCCTACTGGATTACAAATTGATGATAAAAATGAAAATTTTGAAGATATGAACACAGAAATACCAGAATGTGAGAATTCCGATGCCATGGAAGAAGCTGGTCTGGAAGATTATAATGAAACAGGTGAAGATGAGAAGTGTGAAGATGGAGAGCGCAATTCAATGGATGAGGACACAATGGAAGCAGAAACAGAAGTGGTTGGGAATGCTGAGAGCAATGATCCAGCAGAAGTTGATTCTGACAATGCAGATGTCAACTTGGCTGGACACGGTGAAGATGCACCTGAATTTGGAAGATCTGACTTAATACAAAATGATGTGCCTAGTTCAGAATCTACTGCACAACCGAATGGTGATGCACATGCAGCAGATTCTAGTAATGCAGCTGATATGCAATGGTCTAGACACAGTGAAATACAGAATGGCAATACTCTTTCAAGAGGCTTACCCTCCAGTGGTTTCCCGGAGATGGAAACCTCAGTGCCTGAGTCATCCAATAGTGGGAATTTGGCTGCCGATCAACCAAAGGCCCAATTGCCACAAAATGATTCTTCATCGGTTCAAAAAAACAATCCAAACCCATATCGAAGTGTTGGTGATGCACTTGAGGGATGGAAAGAAAGAGTCAAAGTATCAGTTGATTCACAGGTGCATAACATAGAAGATTCTAATCATATGGATGATGACAATGCCAATGAATATGGATTTGTCCAAGAATTTGAGAAAGGGACAGACCAAGCACTGGGTGCTGCTACATCTGACCAAATTGACAAAAACATAAATGATATGAAGCCTGATGGAGATAAATATCATGCAGAATGGAAGGAAGATGTCACTCAGATGGAGATTGAGAAGCAAGATTCTATAATGCACCCTATTAAAAGTTATGGTTCCTCCATGACAAGACACAAAATGGATGAGGGCATGGAAAATTCTGGCCTCACCAATGATTTTCTAGGGGAAGAAATTCCAGAAGTTGACAACCACAATGATGATCCAGGAAGGCTATCAGGCAGTTTAGTTTCGATTAATAGGTCTTACTTTAGTGAGCATGTGTTGCAACTCAGGAGTCTCTCAGTGAGTGACAAGGAGATGGGGAGGGCAAAGAACCTTGAAGAAGTGACTGATGACATTAAAAATAATGCTAGTGCACTCTGGAGGAGATACGAATTACTCACAACAAGGTTGTCTCAGGAGTTGGCTGAGCAGTTACGTCTTGTAATGCAACCCACTCTAGCAAGTAAGCTTCAAGGGGATTACAAAACTGGAAAGAGAATCAACATGAAAAAGGTAAAGAAATCTGTTACAACTGTTTCCGTATTTATCTTTTCAAGTTGCATTATAATGCTCATTGTTTTTCTTTTAATTTCAATTCTGGAATATGTTTTGTGAAAAAAAAAATCAGGTAATTCCATACATTGCAAGCCACTATCGTAAAGATAAGATATGGTTGAGAAGGACTCGACCCAACAAACGTGATTACCAAGTTGTTGTTGCTGTGGATGACTCACGTAGTATGTCTGAGAGTCGTTGTGGTGATGTTGCTATTGAAGCTTTGGTTACCGTATGTCGTGCTATGTCTCAACTTGAAGTGGGGAAGATGGCAGTTACAAGCTTTGGGAAGAAAGGAAACATAAGAGTATTGCACGACTTTGATCAGCCTTTTACTGGAGAAGCTGGGGTCAAGGTGAGTATTCTGTACATTGAAGTTTCTTTTTGAGGATAAATAAGAAAAATAACAGGAATATAGACAGATCCCAAGTATAATATGTCATATTAGTGAGAATCTCCTCTATCTATAACAGTGTTTTTAAAAAGACGTGGGAGGTATGCCTCATGCATACCTCATGTAAAAAGACAGAAAAAAAAAAGAAAAAAAGAAAGGAAAGGAAAAGAAAGCCAGAAAGGGAAGAGAAAGAAAAAGAAACAGAAGGAAAAAAAAAAAGAGAAAAAGAAAGAAAAGGAAAGGAAAGGGAAGGGAAGAAAAGATAAGGGGAAATAAAGTGGGCTGGGGGCTTTGCCCCCGGACCCCCTTGGCTGCGCTGGGGGGCTTTGCATCTTCATTTTCCATAATATAAAAGATTTTATTAAAAATTAAAGAAAAATGAAATGGAGCACCTCGCGTCACGCCTCCACGTTTTAAAACATTGATCTGTAATTGAATGTACTAAGTAGATATAGGTACATGTTTCAATTCGTCTCTTGATGGTGCATTTGCCTCAAAACAGATGATATCAAGTTTGACATTCAAGCAAGAAAATACCATAGCAGATGAGCCTATGGTTGATCTGTTGAAGTATTTGAACAACATGCTTGATGCTGCAGTAGCAAATGCACGCCTCCCATCTGGACAGAACCCACTCCAGCAGCTCATTCTGATAATAGCTGATGGCCGATTCCATGAGAAGGTAATTTTATTCTGTCAATGCTTAAAATACAAAGTTGCTGTTTCAGAATCATCAAATCTCAAACCATTACAATCTGTAATCAGGAAAGCTTAAAGCGGTGTGTTAGAGATGTCTTGAGTAGGAAACGTATGGTCGCATTTCTACTATTGGATAGCCCAGAGGAGTCCATTATGGATCTAATGGTATTTCTTATATCTTTTCCATGTCCTAATAAGTGGACTAGGGCAAGAAAGAATTCATCTAATATCTCATCCTTTTATCTTTCGTGCCTTTTTGTCTTCAGGAAGCATCATTCAAAGGTGAAAAGATCACATTTTCAAAATATTTGGATTCATTTCCATTCCCTTACTACATCATATTGAAGAACATTGAGGCACTTCCTAGGACTCTTGCTGATTTGTTGAGACAGGTAATCCCTTGATGACTTGTCCCCGTAAATAGACCCATTATTAAATATAGCTGCTTTCACAAGCATTCTGTGTATTACCTCCCATTGAACCTTCGAGATGACTGATTTGTTGATAAACTTGATATTTATCTGTATTGTTGGCAGTGGTTCGAGCTCATGCAAAACACAAGAGACTGAATTAGGAGAGAAAAGCTTGCAATAACTTGGCATCATTAATAACCCACTGGAGAAGTAACAGGTCAAACCAGTGGGGTACAACATTCCGAAGTATGCTGGTTCAGCTTCTGCAGATCATTGATCTGAGCCCTGTCACAAAGGTGGAAAATAAAATAGTGAGATGAGATCCATGGATCGATTCATATTATTGCAATGAATCTAATGGTGGATGACAAGTTAAAAGGTTTTAAAGTGGGCCTATTCTTTCTCATTCTGAATGGTCCATCATCATACTTCTCAAGGGTGTCTTAAAATGCTGGATCCAGCAACCAGCCAGCCATCATGGCTCAAATCCAGAACCCAATCCGGTCATTGTGTTGACAGAATGGTTCTACTTAGTTGCCATCTTGTCCATAAATTTGAATGAGTTGCTTGTCTTGATTAAGCAATGCCCCAAGTTGGTCTCCAGTGCTCCTGTATTTCTCTAGTTTCTCGGTGGTTTTAGTTGGTAAGGTTCTGTTTATTTGGAGTGCAATTTCATCTGCACTAGTACAAAAGTATGAGAGTACAAATGAGAATAATGAAATTTTTATAATCTTTTGGTTGGGGTTTTCTGTTATTTCGCTTCAAGCTTTATTATACTTTACATCTGCAATGAAAACAAACAATGTGAGGTAAAACTTGAAATAAAAATAAACCAAAATCTATTTTATCAAAAAAAAAATAAACCAAAATCTGCACCCAATTCATTTGCACTTCCATACTTTGCACCAGTGCAAATAAAAATGCCCTAGAAACAAACAAGACCCTAAGCTTATTAGGTCTAGAGGTCCAACCTTTTGAGCCCCAATTTATATTCGACCCGACGGTAATTAATACTTTATATAAAATTTTAAATGGTTTTGATTATGGGTGTAATTTGAGGGGTTCAAATAAGCCCCTCACAAGATTGCCCCCCACAACGTTCCACAGCACATCCCCACCGTGTATCGGGAACATCTCCCAATGATGATGTTATCATCGGGAGATGTTCCCAATACACTGCAGGGATGTGTTGTGGGACGTTGTGGGGGGCAATCTTGTGAGGGGCTGATTTGGTCTCTAATTTGAGCGGGGCCAATCCAAGCCTGGATTGACCTGGCCTGGAATTTTAGCCGGGCTGGTCTCAGATATTTGGTCTTTGGGCTGGGCTTTCTTATTTTTCATGTAGGGGGCATTGGAATTTCCAGTAGGGGACAGATTTGGATGCCTAATGGTAGGGCAATCATGGGTAATTTCAATTCCACCAAGTGACCAAAGACCGTTTCTATTAAGGTCGGGTTTAGATAGGATCGACCCCTCAAACCCTGGAATTTGGAATTGGATCTACCCAAGAACCTTTCGAGTAAGGTTTGGAATTAGAAGCAACCTTTTTTTTAACCACTAACAATACAATCGAACATTTGTCACGTACTAAATTAAATTGCAGATAAAGTATATGTTTGGTATAGCTTCCATTTATTAAATAGTCTTCATAACCGAAAAAAAGTACCTAACCATTGGGGGAAGCATTAAAAATGACGCTTCCTCCGACAATTGGCATTCACATAAATCATGACCAACTTTTATCAATACCTATGCGTACGAATCAGCCTGATGGGATAAATGCTAATTTGATAATGCCATGGCACTGGTTATCAAATAAACGGAAGGCATATTAAACACCATAGTTTTCAAAACCGGACCGGAGCAGAAAACTGGGAACTAGTTAGGTGACCGATTCTGTTTTTCCTCAAAATCGGATTTTTGTCAAAAAATGTTGATTTAGTCAACAAACCGCTGACTCGGATGATTGAACCATTTGAATTGTTCAATTTTGGCCATTGTTTTATTCTTTTTACAGAACAGGCCAACTATTTGGACCATTCAACCCAGGAACCGGACCCTGATTGGTTCATTGTCCGGGTCAATTTTAAAAACCTTGCTAAACACCGCCAAAATGTATAGCAGTTTCCCCGTTTACAACTTTTTTTTATCTTCAGATGGAGGCAATTATCTCTATTGTCTGTAAAACGCTCATTTGGGATCTGCTGCTCACACCAATGTGTATTGCGGGTTACACAATTAATCATATCATGAGTATAGGTCCTAGCAAAATTGTTTTATCTGACTGGGAATCTGCATTTTCTGTTTGAAAATTTAAATGCTTGGATTTAGATTCATGGGGAGTAAAGACAGCAAATAAGCCACCATCCGAAACCTCTAAATGTGATTGAATTTAAAACCAGTTCAAAGGGTTATTCGTTTCATCTTTCGCGGGTCGCCTTTTTCCTTCACTATTCCATCAATGGCCGAAAGCTAAGAGTGATCAATGGTGGATTCTTCCCTGCACTCTAAAATGGAGCTTATATAATCTTGTGAGAGAAGGGTTTTACCATGGAAAGAAGGGTTTGCAGTTTATGAGAGAAGCAGACGATGCATTTTAATTTAAAACATCACCCAATTTGTTCGTTTACTTTTCTTTTTCCGAGAATAGAGCGTGGAACCTTATATGTGAAGGAAGCTCAGTAGAACTACAGAGAGCTACACACAAGACGGGGTAGTTCGAAATCATATTGCATTTCTGAATCAGACGAGGAAGAACCGTACCTAAAATAATATATTCTAATTTCTATGTGGAACAATTTTCTTTCTCATAAAAATTTCAGGGTTCATGTAGTTCACAGTCGTAATCGGAAGGGAATCAAAATCCTCACGAATCCGAATTGGAATGATCTATTGTTATGTTTCATTTAAGGTAGGGGTGGCCATCTCATTCCAGCAGAATGAGAATGGGATTCCGATTTCATCCAACCAAACAATTGAAACGGGGCCTCAGTTCGTGAAGTTGCTGGTTTTGATTATGAAAAAACTGAAACCCTATTTCTCAATTTGCATTTTTTTTCTTCATTTTCTGGTAATTAACTAACCCTGTAGTGGTCATGCATGGGCAATCCCATTCCTTCCAAATACCCTATTTCTCAATTTACATTTCTTTTTTCTTCATTTTCTGGTAAATAATTAAAACGTCTGTTCTCCCTTTAATGGTCATGCATAGGCAATCTCATTCCTTCCAACTTGAGCAACGAGAACGATTGAAGACACTGGATCTAAATTCTAATGGGTTAGTTGCAGATTGGTACCCTGTTCAAATTCTTTGTTTCTCAGTAAATGGTTAACCTAGAAACTTTAATGGGAACTCAAAAAGATTTTACAGGAAAAAAAAAAAACGAAATCTTGTTATAATAGGAGGTATAGATATTCAAAGAGCAACGCATAGATAGGAGTTGCCACCGTCGTGATCAGAGTCCGGTGACGGCAATTGAAACATACCTAACCCAGTTCAGCAACAACAAAACAACCAAAATCAAAATAGCATTCAAATCAAACAAACCCACACTTTAGGCCAACATTACATTCCGACGACTTCTTTCGCCTTCCCTTTGTTCTTCACTTAGGCGATCTTGACCTCAATGGCCTTAGGCTTCTTAGGCTCCGGCGGAGGCAGCTTTTCAACAGTGACAGTAAGCACGCCGTCCTGAGAGACAGCAGAAATGGCGTCGGTGTTGGCATTATCCGGGAGCACGAACTTCCTCATGAACTTTCCGACCCTCCTCTCCATCCTGATATACTTGGCTCCTTCTTTCTCCTCTTCCCTCCTGCGTTCCCCGCTGATGAGGAGCACATTATCGTCCTCGACCTGAACCTTGATGTCACCGGACTTAAGTCCGGGCATGTCGATGGTGAAGACATAGGAGTTGGGGTATTCCTTCACGTCCGCCGGAGTCGAAGCCATAGCCTTAGCGTCTCGAACATAACTGCGTGTAGGAGCGTTAAGCGACTTCTCAACTTCGTCAGGGACATCGAGCATGTGCTGGAGCGTCGAAAGCAGAGGACTGTCGAAACCCATGAGTCTCAAATCCATTTCCATCGATTCACGAGAGTGGAAACAAGTATCCGAGATTGAGAGATAATCGGAGATTTCGTCCGCTTTATTTCCTTCGCTGCGATCGTTCGATGCTGGCGCTTTGAAGGGAGGAAAAAATGGAGGTACTCTTTTATAGGAGGCGAGTCGAAAGCGAAGTTGCTGGATTGATCTCCTTCTGTAGTTCTATTCTAGCATAATCGAGAAAATTACGGAAGGTTCTAACGACACATATGCTGCGACGTCGCATGCGATTCCCAAATGACTCAATGAGACACGGACGAATCAGTGCTGGGAATAAAATTTACACGGATAAATTTTTTTCTTACCAAATAGATTTTTTGCTCCAATACATACAAACACAAATTTCAATAAAGTATGTATTTTTTATTTTATCAAAAGTCTATTTGAATGTAAATTTATTTCTTTTTTATTGATGTATTTTTGGCTCAATTCCATAAAAATATAAATATAAATATATACAAAATACAAGATTTTGTACTGTAAATATGCATTGATCAGTCATTTGGTAATGCATAAATGTAATATTATCAAATATAGGCAAAAGTAAACCACTTAACCAAAATTTACACTCTATATACTTCCCGATCTCTTGCAATCAAAATCTCTCCGCACACAATCAGCCGTACATTGGAAATATCTCCCGTAGATATGTCGTAAAGTTATGCAAGGTTGGATTCAGCAGCCTTTAGGTGATTGCAAACTATGAGAAGAGTTTTTATTGCTTGAAATCCCGTCAGCCGTCACATTAAAAAAAGAAAAGAATTCAACCAAAATTTCGGGTGGAAAGGAACAGAGCTTTTTTATGAGTTATTTGATCTTTACTCTTAAAAAGTATGATTTGGTTCGGTTCAAATAGCTCGAATTGAATTCGGTTCAAATCGATCTTTACTCGTGAGAGGTTTTCTATATAAAGCTTGACTCACTATTGACCTCAAGCCAATCTGATCTTGAACATGAGTTTCAGGGTTGAACCTAATTTAAGTTTATGTCTCTAGTTCGAATTGATCTCATTACATCATTTACATGAGAAATAAAAGAACATCCGTAAATAAAAGAACAAGGCCTTAATGTTTTTCTATTGAGTAAGCTTAAATAATTAGATATTCAATTTGACTTGGTTTAATTCAATTCAAATTTGTCCCTACTTTCACCTAATATTTAAAAAAGAAAGACCCAACAACAAATCATTTTGCCTCCGGGTTTCAAGTTAGCAGTTCGATCATATGGTTTGTGTAGCTTAGTCATGATGTTGTCACAAACATAATAACATATTTAAAATATAAAAAAAAATAGTTATCAACTACGAACTGTTGTTCGGGTCGAAATGGTTCAACGGTTAGATTGATTGGTAGGGATTCCAACAGATTGGATCTAGATTGAGTCTAAGTAGAATCAGTCCTAAACCGATTATTAATTGGGTCTACTGGTCCAAATCCGATTATACTAAAAACTATATTTATTTATTTAAATAATAATTTAGAATTCAAATTTTGATAATATAATCTAATAAAATGATAGAAATCACCAAATTATTAGCATGCTAATAAATCAAACATTTTTAATTAATATTATCTTTTTTATCTATCATAGAACTAAAACCATTATGATCGATTTGGTTGGTTTGGATCCATCAGATAGATCCAACCCATTGGAAGCCCTACTCATTGGACCAACAATTTGTTTATTGAAATTGTGTTTGGTATTGGTGTTGTTTATACTAAAAACATTTGAGATTTATCAATTCAAAGTTCGGAGAAATTGTTTTGTCACATGGTAACTACTTACTCTAAAAAAAGTATGCATTTAATTGATGTTGACATTTATAATAGAAACATAAAATTTAGAGCTCCATGAACACAAGTGGCAATGGTACTGCATTTAATACTAAAAAAAGAATTTTTCATATGAATATAAACATATTTTATCAAAAAATTGTATTGACATCCTCCAGCCTTGCGGAAATGTGGGCTGCAAGCCCACAAACTAGTGTTGCAATTCCAAAGCAGCGCCATCGTTATACAAGGAGATTCCTTGTTCGTTATTGGCATCCTCCAGCGTGTCTCGAACATCTTTTGGAAGGGAAAAACTTTAGCGTTGGGTCAACAGTCTATGCTGTATGGGCGTGAATAGGTGAACTGCACAGAATGTGCCCAGCCCAGAAACTTAGAAGTGCCTTGTGTTAGTTGAGGAGTGTTTCTGTCCGGTCCAAAGGACCCCATCGAGGATATCCTACTCATACCCACCAAGAAGGCAATGCTGTAGCAAACTGGTTGGCAAGCAAAGGAGATGAAGGATAGGGCTTCTGCTCGTTTAGAAGAGTTCTCTTGCAGGGGCAAAGCTAGGATTTTTTTATTGAGGGGGCCAGTAAACATGGATAGAAGGGCCAAAATACGATTTAAATAACTACCATAAGGATTTTCAAGGCGGGGGGATGGCTCCCCTCTACCACCCCTGATTCCACCCCTATTCCCTTGGGAGTTTAATTTTGGGTCACATTTACTTTTCGATAAGCTACTTAATCGGGCAAGCACATTTACCCATGTTCTTTTATTTTCCAGGTAAATAAGGCAATGACCATTTTAACCATAAAAATTCATTATTAAAAGGGGCATTCTTATCTCATTCAAGTACTAGCAACTTTCCCCCTATGTGGGAAATTATTTACACATCTAGGAGATGGGTACCACTTACCTACGTAAGTGATATCTAGGAAAATAAACTTTCCTTGGTCCCCACATAAATCTGAAAAAAGAACATGGGATTCTTGGTTAATAGGAATCAAAATCCCATTGACCAAATTTTCCTGCTTTCAAAATCAAAAAAAAAAAAAAAGAAAAAATAATGCCCACTTATTATTTTTCTTGATGCAGCAGCTAGTGCTCTGCCCCACTGGTTCTAGGCTTTGTTTGTTTGCTTTGTTCTATCAAAAACAAAATAAAACAAAAAAAAAAATTGTATTGACAAATCCCAAACGTTTAAGGTAGAAGCAGCAATGATACCAACATAACCTAATCAACGTTTTTTTTTTTTTCATTTTGGCAAGAAAATAGACTTTAAAAGGTGAACAATCTCTCAGCCGGCTGAACGATTCAAGTTCAACCACCTACGTCAACAACGTTTTGAAAAAGCTTACAGATGGTGAGAGCTTCAAAAGCTATGTCCTTTCTTCTTTCCCCTCTACTTGGCAATCCAGTGATATAAATAATAAATTGTCAAATTAGTTTCTTTTTTCACACAAAAGGGAGATGTTGTTGATGTTGTTGTAGTCGAAGAAAAACCCCTCAAAGCTGAATCCATCTTATGTGTTGATGTTGTTGTCTAAATAAAAAACCAAAAAGGTAGTTTGACAGAGTATTTATATTTGGAATTTTTTTATTGTGCTCTTTTATAAAGATTAGATTTAACTCAATGACTAAATTCAAATATTTAAATATTTAAACAACTATCCTTTGAAAAGTAGTAGTACTATATGATATTATTAAAATATTCTAATTTAGCTTTTATGGTCTACACATGAAGCCAAGGCAAGCATTCATGTTATATATCTATACTATATATAAAAGTGTGAATGTAGTTGAAACTTTTTGGGACTAAACTTATCCTTTATTTCTTTGTTTGAGAAAGGGTATAAAAATCATTTTATTATAGCATTAATGGCTACTATAATGGCCATATTTGTATATTTAATCCATCTCTAATTGTAAATGTTCAAAATGTAACTTCAATTATTACTTTCCACTTTATTTAATCCCCTCTCATTAAGTCTTATACTCAACTGTATTAACTCCCATTTTATCTTATTAAATCTTATATTTAAGTTATTTTTCACCAATAAATTGTACTAATTAGATCTATGTCATTTTTTAACAATATAAACTCATATATTTTAAAACTAGCTAAAAATAAAAACATTCTTTATCCAAGTGATGGCTAAGCAATTCAACCATTCAAATCAAATTGATAAATCTATGAAGTCATAGTTAAGTAATAAAATTTTAAAATAGAAACAAATATAAAAAAAATAGACTTTATTATAATTTTATTAATCAAATTAAAAAATAACTGTAATAAAAAAATTAATTTTATTGATAATGAAAATGAAATGCATACTTTAGAACTGACCAAAAATGAAATTATTTTACTATTTGATAAAGATCAATAGTTCAACTTTTGGGTCAAATGTATTAACATTTAATGTCATAAATAAATAATAAAAATTAATAAAACATAAAAATGAAAAAAAAACATAAATGTTGCAAAAGAACATTCAGGCACATGTATAATATTAATTAATTATTATATTAAACAAAAAGTAAGTGTGACATATTGGAATTATTTTTACACAAAAATATAAACAAATACAAAAAAAAATGAATACACCTATAATTCTATATTTACACTACTATTAAAAATATAAATAAGATTATGTAACTTTTTTGACTAAAATACTCATTTTTAAAATTAGTCTTTATTTAATTGTGAAGTTTAAATTGTAAATTGAACTAATACTTTTTACCTCATTCAATTCCCTCTATTTAAATCTTACATTTTTTATAAGTGAACAAAAAACACCAAAAAATAAAATATTATAAAAAGAAGAATCTAACCAAGTGACTTGCCAATGACACTTGAAACTTCACAACTCAATCTGATTATCACATATTGAGATGATGTGTTTATGTAATCATATTTGGATTTTGCAATATGCATCTAATTAATAATAAAAAGCAAAAAAATATAAACAAAAAATAAAAATATATATTTATAAAAATTTTTGAATACATTATTACTATCGTTATCATCACCTAGAATTACCACGTGCAAAGCACATACACACTTACTAGTTAAATAGAAAAGAACCATGTGATGGGCTAATGTTAAAAAAAGGTGTCGATGTTACATTTAGTTTTTTAACTGAATTGGTTGTGGATAAATTTAAATAGTTTTATATTTAATTTCTTTGTTTTAAAATTGAAAAAAAACAAAATTTTAAAGAGATTGGAAACAAATAGCAATATGAGAAGTCTAATATGAACAACTGTGTTTTAGAATATAGTATAGATAATAAAGGTAATTAGATATAGATAGATGAGGACATAGAAGTAGCTGGATTAGGTAGAATCATTGTTGAACTAAATTGAGGCTTCTCAAATTACTAAATTAAATTTGTTAAAAACAAGCTTGTGAAGGAATAGGGCTAATTCTGAAGAGCTAAACTAGTAACAAAACTTTAGAGAGAGTAAGAAAAAGGAAAATAATTTGGTTGTAAAAAATCGAATTAAATAAGTGATAGGGCCATAGAAAAAGGAAAATTAAATTTTACTATGTAAAAATAAAAATACGAAATACATAACACTTAAATACGAGCTTTTCTTTATAACAAAACTATAGATCAAATTCCTTAATTTGGGCAGTTAAACACTTAGGCTGTGTTTGATTGCAATGCAAATAAATTTGTACCAATGTAAAATTATAATAGTGCAAATGATTTTTAATGTAAATTCTAACCTATTTTTATTTCAAATTTTAGTTTATTTTGTTTGATTGCAGTACAAATTAAATAAATTAAGACATGAAGTAAAATAAAATTAAATGAGAATTTACATTTTTTTTTTCATTTGCACTTTCATGCATTTGTACTAATGCAAATAAAATTGCACCAAACACAGCATTAAGCTACATACTTCATAGTGAGGTCTCAAATTTATCTGATACAATAATACCCCATTTCTTTTTCCCAGGCCTAACCAAGAAATTACATGCTTAACGAGTTCATGGACCACTGTTATGTAGGAAACTTCCCTACATAACCCTACCAACACGCAAGGGCCCACCCAGGCCCAAAATGAAACTGCCTTGGCATTTAGCAAGCTCAGACTAAATTGGCTTGGGCCGGGCTTCATGGATCTATGTTGGTTCACCTACCAGCATTATTAGTACGATATATATAGGACCATTGGATTGGCATAACTTTTGTTGACAGAACCCAAGGACGGCGGTAGTGACGCGACACGAGCTATACCAACCAAATAATCGTGATTGGTGGTCATTGGACCGTGCCGGTAAGCCCACTTGTCCTCCCGTTGTCGTAGTGGGGAGCGGCGAACGGACGCCCACCGCCGGCGGTATCTGCCTACGTCTACGTGTCGAGACTTCACTTTCGAGTGCTACCGATCGCGAAACCCTAAAATGATGTCTAGTCTAATCACTATCTGACACGTGTCGTAGTCACTAAATTCCAAACCTTATCACTTTCGCCCTCAGTTTTATAGTTTGTGTTGTCGAATCTGGTCGCTACGAACTCCTCCGCTTTTTGCCAAGCCTCTCCCCCCCTCTATGATCTCTAAATTGATCCACTGTAAATAAATTTTGTTTTTAGTTTCTATTTTCTGATGAATGAATCCCTAGATATCCCCTCAAGATCTGCTCTCTCCGGCGGATTTTTTCCGGTCGGTGATTGGAGATGGATGGGATGAGGAATCAATCCAAATCTTGGGCGAGGAACATCGTTGGATCAGATTTTCTTTGCAAGAAATGTTCGATCCATTTGTGGTAACGGATGTTCGATCGAAAACCTGGTTTAGAAAAAGGAAAAGAAAAATCAAATTTGTAAGCCCAATCCACTGTATTATAATTGTACTGAATCTGTAGCTCTTTGGTCATTGTACAGTATATTAATTTCCCTTAAGGCCTTAACCTTAGGTTTTTTTTTTGCCGATTTTTTCCTCAATTTGTACAGTTGGGTTTAGATTTTAAGTGAAACAGAATAGAAGAGGGGAAGGTTGAAGAGGAGGGGAATTGATTCAATGTTTTAACTTTTGAGTTCACTTTTGTATCTCTCTACTGATACCCGAAAGTGGCGAAGACGAATTTGAGCACCGCCGAGGAATATTCGGCACCGGAAGTCAATCTTCCGGCAGATATCGATTGGCAAATGCTAGACAAATCTAAGTTCTTCTTCCTGGGGGCGGCCCTCTTCTCCGGTGTCTCTTCCACGCTTTACCCTGTTGTAGTCCTCAAGACTCGGCAACAGGTATCACAAACTCGTGTCTCCTGCATGAAAACAGCGTATTCGATCCTACGTCACGAGGGTTTCCGAGGTCTGTACAGAGGCTTCGGCACATCTCTAATGGGAACAATCCCGGCTCGGGCGCTCTACATGACAGCGCTCGAAGTCACCAAGAGCAACGTTGGAACTGCCACAATCCGGTTGGGGCTCCCGGAGCCAACGGCCGCAGCGATTGCCAACGCTGCTGCAGGCCTTAGTGCAGCCATGGCATCACAGCTCGTTTGGACCCCGATCGACGTCGTGAGCCAAAGACTCATGGTTCAGAGCAACAGAAGCAGCAATCCCAGTAACCCCAATATGTCACCTTGCAAGTACCACGGCGGAATTGATGCATTTCGAAAAATTCTGAGGACTGATGGACTGCGAGGACTGTACAGGGGATTTGGGATATCCATATTAACCTACGCACCGTCAAATGCTGCCTGGTGGGCATCGTATTCTGTTGCTCAGAGACTCCTGTGGGGTGGAATTAGTTGCTATTTCTATAAAAAAGAAGAGGAGAGCAGAAAGAATATGGGCAGCAGCGGTGGCAGTGGCGGCATCTTCCGGCCGGATTCCAAGACAGTGGTGGCAGTTCAGGGGGTGAGTGCAGCCATGGCGGGCGGCGTTTCGGCTATAATTACAATGCCACTGGATACCATCAAGACCAGACTGCAGGTATTGGATGGAGAGGAGAACGGTTGTCGCCGGCCCCTGACAATTGGACAGACGGTAAGGAATTTGGTTAGGGAAGGTGGGTGGACCGCCTGTTACAGGGGAGTAGGCCCGAGGTGGGCTTCCATGTCCATGTCTGCAACCACCATGATCACTACTTACGAATTCCTGAAACGACTTTCTGCCAAGAATCAAGAGAACTTGACGTGATCCTACGTTGATTCTGTTAGCTTTCCTGTGTAGCCTGGAGATGATTGTTGAAAATAAAGTGAATGCAGGTTTTTAATAAATCGATGTCTTCTAATCTTCTCTATTTTTGTTTATTTCATTTTCTCAGTTTTATATATGTAAACAATTGTCTATAGACTCTTGTAGGGATTAGAAGGAAAAGAAAGAAAACATGGGGAGCGGTGGTTTAATAAGATACAGTGGCCACTGGCCAGAAGGGGGATATAAAGTTCCAGAAGACCAGAATATCGTTAAGGTAGTGTGGTTCATTCGTGTTATGAAATGAAATGGAGATTCCTGGTATTCATGCCTCGTAGAAACTGTGTGTCGCCCCAGACTCATTGAACTATTATTAAACTTGGTTAGTTTACGATAGTATCGGCTTTTAAATTTTCTTCGTATTGTCAAAGTGCCAACTGGCTCAATTGATTCTAGGTATCGAGTCCGGATTCAGTGGACCCTTTGGTTCAAGGGGCGCGTGAACCTTCCAATAAGAGGTGTGCACGTCGTCCAATTCGAGGATTGCTATTCCGTAAACTTAACGAGTCTGTAATGTTGTTAGCCTGGTTAAACTGGTTAGATAAAAACAAACTCGAGCCCTATTTTTACACCTCATTCGTTTGAATTCTCTTTCGGCAGTTTCATTTTCACCAGAGTCCTAGCTCAAGAGCAAGAGGGTGGAGTGCAACGATTTCAACGTCTGATGGCATGGAGTCAACCCATGACAAGAATCAACCGGCGGTAAGCATCCATTCTCCTCATTTTCCTTCCAAACCTGATTTTTCTCTCCAATCTTATATTCTTCCTTTCTACAGACCACCGACGACGATTTCTCTATTTCTTTGAGCTCTTAGGGCATGAAATCAACCAGAGACAAGTGTAAACCAGCAGTTGGGCTGGGGTGTTTATCACCTGCTATCCAACATCACGAGCTTTGACCCAATTGCATCATCGTTTGGATCGATCTACGTGATGGACAACCCACTCACAGCCACACCCAATATAAATTCAACCCTCATGGGGCGTGCCCAGGGGCTCTATGCCATGTCTTCACAACAGAACAAGTTCAGCCTTCTGATGACTCTCATCCATGCGTTTGTCAGCTGACCATACAACGGTAGTTCCTTCAGCATGGTGGGTCAGAACCCAATCTTCAATGAAGTAAGAGAGATGCCAATCGTCGGAGGCACGGGAGTTTCCCAGATTGCATGTGGGTATTGCTTGGCAAAGACACACTCCATGGTAGTATTTGATGCAGTAATCAGATAATAATGCGACCCTAATACATTAATTAATGGAGTTCTTATTTTTGTATTCACATTTTATTTGGATCCTCCAGCCTTCTATGAGATTTTCTTTTATGAATAAATAAAGAGTTTACTTATGAAGTAACTTAGATGGTTTCTCTCTCTCTCTCTCTCTCTCTCTCTCTCTGAATCAGGAAACAACAATATAGCTCCAATTTCCAACTGTGTGTTAAGCTGTTCTTGCGATTCTAATTCAAAGTTCCAACATACAAATTGCACTAGGACCGGAGTGGAAGTCTTGTGAGTTGTGAAGATGCCAGAATCAAATGACCCACATATTAGGAAGAACAAGGTCTGATTTATGGGTCTTCACGCTGTGGTAGATTGATCAAAAGCTTGAAATGTTTAGTCTATCTATCAAACAAGTATTCCCATCCAAAAATAGCTTGTTCTCTCCATTTTTTTTTATCAAACCTTTTATCTTGGTGTTAAGGAAATACAGTTGAGACAAAAATTGTTAGATTTTCAATGTTAGAACTTATAACAATTAAGACTGACTAGTACAGCCGGTTTACACTTGTTGCAGGTTGATTTCATACAGTCGGAGCTCGGTGAAACAGAGAAATCGCCATTAGTGGTGGTCTGTAGGAAAGAAAGATATCAGATTGGAGAGGAATAACAATTTTGGAAGGAAAATGAGGAGGATGGATGCTTAAACGCCGGCTGAAATCGCTGCCAGTGGCCTCTTGCTCTTGAGCTAGGGCTTGGGTGAAAATGAAATAGGGAAAGAGAATTCAAACGAATGAAGGGGAAAGATAGGGGGCTCGAGTTTTATTTTTACCTAACCGGTTGAACCGGACTGACAACTTTAACAGATTCATTACATTAACGGAATAACAATCCGCAAATAGGGCGACATGCATGCTTCCTATTGGAGGGTTCACGCGCCCCAAAAACCCACTGAATCCGGATTCATAGGTCTCTCGCTGGTTGCAGCGGAGAGACTTGGGAATAATTCCTGCCTTCACACCTGGATTGAGAGGGGTTGTGGGTATATTTATACGCTGCCATTATTAGCTCTCCATAGTCCATACAAACTAGAAAGGGAAAGGGTTTTGGATTTTTTTTTAGTAAGAGGATAGAAGAGTGGCATTTGTATAGAAAAAATATGCAGGGTTGTTTTTAAGAAAAAAGAAAATATTTAAAAGACCTTCAACATTTTCAACCTTCCAATTTCCAAAGAGCCAAGAGACAAATGAACTAAAATTTTATCAAGTCATTTTTTTCAAGTCCATTCAGTGCCAACAAACGCCACCTAATAGTGAATGGCTCTTCAATCAACCATAACAATTTAAGTGTCCCTTTGAACAATACAGGGAGCATGGCGGCAATCAAGTAGTAAATGTAGATAGAAGAACCAAAAACAGAACAAAAGGGAGTAGGGTACAAGTATAAGAATTAAGAAATGATTTAACCGTTCATAAGGAACCATATTATTGGTTGAGTTGGGTTTCCCTGGATTGGATGTATAATAATAGTCGGTCATGGATATCACTGCAGTGGGGACTGAAGTTTGATCTTCCGAGACATAGGCGGGAGAAGTTCAAACTTCAGAACAGAGGAGAGAACATTATATGAGACTGAGAGCACCATAAACATTAGCTGTGCTAATAACAATGTTTCTGTAGATTAATCATCAATTGAATAAGAGTGGCTCAGTTGGTGGGATCTCCGCTTGTTGTAGATGAGACTTGACTCTGGATCAAATCTCTCAGAAAAACAGAGCTTGAATAAAACGAAGAAACGGTGGGCTTTTTCAACAGGAAGTTTATGAAACCATGTTCTCAATATCTCTTCCAACAACAATTTCATATACTTTTTTTTTTCTACATTACATTATACATTTTGTTTTTCTTTTTTCAGAGAGAGACATACAGACAGACAGAGGTTCTTATCCCGTATCCACATGTAGTCCACACTATCGCTCTTTCTCCTGACTGATAGATCATTTTCATCGGGGGACCACTCACCACCCCATATGATGAGATGACGAATTGATTCTACACAATTTGCAACCAATATTTGAAGCTTTTAGAGTTTTGGCATTTGTTTACAGTTTAAAATACTATGGGAGTATCTGGTATATTGGTGTTATGTTGTTTTTGAGTATTGGGTTGATTGATAATTTTATATAAATTTGTGAAAGAGATTTTTTTATTTAAAATGTTTTAATTGATCAATACAAATTATTATTTTTACCTAAAATATTAAATTTACACCCCCTATATTTCTAATAAAGGAGTATCCGACTCTTCATACACATTGCCCAACACCCATTAGTGTTAGAAGATTGCAAAATGTGGCTTTGATGAGAAAGTATTTTTCTAAATATGGTCTCTATTTTTAATATTTTGGTCAAGTTTGCATTTTCATTATAGTCTCCTTTTTTCATATAAATAGATTATATGATCATTACTCACACAGTCAAGGCATCTTGCTAGATCATTAAAAAAATGAAAAGTCGTTGTATTTTGCGGTGTTTGATTAATTGGAGGACTTCCACAAGGCAAAAAATAATTTTTTTTTTATTTTATAAATTAGGGAGTTACCAAACGAACATTATAAAAATGGCATCATGAATGATTCAGATCATTTGGAATAACTATGTCACCTTATCTATATTCATCGTTCATTGATCCCAAAACTGGAAATCTGAACACTTCAGAAGTGCCTTGGGCTTATGAATGAAATAGGGTTTACCCCTCCAGCCAGCAATGATCACTACCCTTAATTGTTAGTGACTTAGTGGTTTACCTATGACAAACGTTTTGGTTGGGTTAATGGTGTTGGTTTACCACCAACACAAACCCAACCCTAACATATGGCCCTCAGGCCATGTTCAACCCAAGATGAAAGCCATATTTATCGACCCAAACCCAACTAAATCTACAAAGCTAAAATAATTCAGAATACTGTGGGTTGGACCTTATTCAAACCTACAAAGGCTAAAATAATTCAGAATGCTGTGGGTTGGACCTTTCCAGGCTTGAATAGGCTTGGTTTGGTATGGATCGGGAATACTTTGATACAGAAAAGACATGATGCCTAAAAAATTTACAACCAATCAACTTATATCCTAGATGTAGTAATCATAGTTTTCTAACTGCCATTACCATTGACCTAGACGGTCGGACCATTTGGCCAGGGGACCATTTAGACAATCAGTTTCGTTTTATCCCAAACATGATCCTAGGCCAAAAACCGTTAAATCAATTAATGATCTTGATCCGTTTAATGGTTTTTGGTCATTTTTTATTTTTATATTTTTTGTCAAAATAAATTATTCATTCAAATCGAATGATCAAACCATTAACCCAGAAACTGGTGGCCAGAACAATTCCGTTTTTATATCGTTTTTTAAAACCATGGTAATAACCAAATCAGCTGGTATTCATGAATGATGAGGGGTTTTGATTGATTAAATTTGTTCCAGTATCATACCTTTGTAGGAAGAATGATATATTCATGAAGGACCTTGTCAAGTTGCCATCTATTAAAGAAAAAAAAAAAAAAAAAAAAGATTAGAGCAGGTGGATTGGAACCTTCCACTTCAGGGATACATAGGGATTTTTCTTTTTTTTTTTTTTGGTAAATAAGGATACATAGGGGTAGGGTATACTGCATGGGTGTTAATACATGGGATACCCCAATGATAAAGTCTGTGTATACCTACCATTCGTTTGCAGCAGTACCCCAAATGATGACGTCTTCATCTATTATCAATATCCATGCACACAACGGGATACAAAATGTGGTGTGGTCATATCAAATTAAATGCCTTTTGGATCAAAAGTAAAATCGTTTATACGAGTAAAACCAATAAGCAAAATAAAATAGAAATTATTAATTTTTATGATTATTATTTAATATATAATTAATTATTATAATGAGAAAAAATATACCGTCCTGTATAATTTGGTTGGCAAATTTGGGTTTTTGCATCAGTTTGGATTCAGGTCAGGCTCTATGTCTAGGGTTGATCTTCTATTGGTCCTTGAACCAACCAAACCCATCTATTTTATAACCCCTGATTTATTAGGGAGAGTTAAAATGGATTACAAAAGATTTGAGAGGAAATGAGAGAGGGAAGAATTGGAGAGAGTGTGTGTGTGTTTTAAGAATGATTTTATCAAAGAGAACAATGATGGATTCAATCCAAGGGAGTTCACTTTGGCACATATTTGATATTTCTGAGTGGTTCCTTATACTGACCCATGAGATGATTTCACATCAAAGGGTGGTTCATATCTGAGTAAGAAAGAAACTTGACTGTGAACAGAACCCTCTCTCAAAGTTGGTGAAATATCTTCTCCAACCTTGATGGAGGACTTTGTTAAGTTATTCTCAGATTGAGAAAGAAACAGAGTGCCATGATTTTTATGCCGAGGATGATAATGAGAGTGATGAAGGGAAATTTGGCCTGACCTCGCAATCACTCGACACGTGGCGAAAGCAAGCAACTCGGGGCAGTAGAGCGCCCAAAACGAGCACCGAAAGTAACGAAGTCCAAGCTCACTACTGAGCTTGGACTTCACCCGACCGGATTCTCTACTAGGAGCCCGAGCTCCCTACCAAGAACCCGAGCTCCTTACTGGGAGTCCGAGCTCCCTATTAAGAACCCGAGCTCCCTACTGAGAACCCGAGCTCCCTGCAAGGAGCCCGAACTATCTCGGGTCCTAAGCCCCACAGCCGTGACCCGAGCTGGCCCATGGCAGCTCAGAACACTCCCAAACCGAACTCAAGACACCTCGCTCGCCACTCAAGCACTTCGCTTCCGAAACACCAGACTGACCAAACGTACCTGACACCAAGGACGTCCGTATCCAAGGGCGGCGCACCTGACTGATTTGGGGTCTAACACCTGACAGTCAAACTTCAAACGGCCTCCTGCTACCGCCACCTGCCACCGTCGTTACTAGCTGCAGAGACGGCTCCGACAAAAGGAGCAGTGGCAGTTCTGTCCGGCCAGAGGAAATGACATCCGAACTAGTAGGAGCTCAGAGATAATCATGCCCGATCTGACAGAAGCCTAGAAGTGAGTGCGCGAGGTGGTTATAAAAGGCTCCCTACCCCCCAAGAACAAGGTATGCAAACTTTTGCGCTATCTGGCTTATCTTGCCTTTGAAAGACTCTAACTTGAGCTTCGGAGCCCTTACGTCGAGTTCACCCCGGAGCTTCTTCACCCCCTCCGTTTCAGGTCCCCTGCCACTTAGTTCAGAGGCAAGATCGTTGACAGCTAAGATCGGCCAGATTGTACATCATCATAGAGCATTGCCAAAATGTTCCTTATGATGTGGTGCATTGAAAAACGATGATGAGGTTATATACTTGGGTTTATTGGAAGCTAGGAAGTATATAACCGAGGTTTCCTGTAGAGAGTAATGGGCAGGAAATCTGATTTGGGAAGTATAGCCCAGTAACAGTTATGTTCTTTTTGTTTTTCTTTTGATAATGGTTTAGAAGGCTGAAGAGGTTGCCATAATACATTGATTGTTCATCATAGATGCAAGCATTATATGCTAGTCTATGAGCTATTTGATTTGCTATTCTATTTAAAATACCGTATATATATTAGCTGAAAAGACTTCAATAGTTCAAAAGTTTGTGGCAGAGCATCTAAACTTACCACGTGTCATCCACATATATTTTGTAAGAGATATCAATGCTGTTTGGAAATGTTTGTACTCTTCTTGTTGTTTGGTGTCCCTTGTTCATTGCTGCTGTTTCAATGTTCTGTAGCACGGCTTGCAATTTGCACTTGGCCTACTATTTGAACAGGGTTTGCTTCAATTTGTTTGAATAGTTCTGTTTCTTGGTAAAGGGTTTAGGGAGAGATAAGTAGGGGGTGAGGAAAGATTTTAAGGGAGAGAGAGAGAGAGAGAGAGAGAAGTGGAGAGAGAACAGAGAATGGGGCAGTAATGATTTTAATTTAGATCCCCTATAGACGGATCGAATTGAGATCAACCTGGAATCTGGAAGGAAGATCCTGACCTGTTTGCTAGGTGACAGACTATTTAAGAAATCCAGGCTCCATGTTTGGACTTTAGAGAGAAAAAGTAAATAACAGATGAGCTAAAAACTGAAGTAGAGATACCATTAACAAAGAAGTGAATAGTTGAAATATTAACAAGTAAAAGCAATTTCAAGAGGTGTGAAGTGAACACTGTTCAATGAAATTTTAACAAGGAATTTTAGTAGTACATACTAGGTGTTCATGTCTAAACACAGAGCATTGATATTTGCACCCATGAAGCTTCAACTTCCAATCCAAAGCGTCTCTAAAATCTAAATTGCAGAAGAAAAAAAAAAGGTATTTCAATACCATCATTTCCTTGAGATGGGATTTTTCATACAGAAGTAACAGAACCTATCAACCAAAGAAGGAGCTGCGGTATAACAAAGGGAACCAAATTTCACTGCTCAGAGATTCCAAAAGCCTCTCCCACTTGTAGCAGAGGGAGACCGCACTTTCTCGAACCAACCCCAATATTCGGGATTACAGTGTGCCGGCGATGACACCATGGGCCTGGGCGTAAAGGGTCCGGCCGAACCTCTCCAGAATGCCAAACACTTGATTAATATCTCCCCCAACTTCCCTTCATTGATCGCCTCATAAACCTTCTCTATGTGCTCTCCAGGGCTCACCTTCTTCGCACCACTCAGAAGCTCGGTTCCCACTTCTGTCCTCACGAACCTGTATATCGGATAAGTCCTACATTTCTTAATTCTGTTGGGTATCGGGAAATCACCATTATCGAACCTCTCCCTGGCCTTGGCTATCTCCTCGCCTAATCTCGCCTTGAGTTCCTCCTGAAAGACTGGTATCTGTTTAAATATGGAGTACCCGCTTTCAGTACTCTTTTCTTCTGCTTTAGGAGATTGATTGAGCGCCTTCTCCACGAGGACCTCCCGCAATTGGAGGAGTAGAGCGTAGGATGGATTGGTGGGATCGTCGAGGTAGGAGAACACAGGCTGGTGTTCAATAACCTGCAAGAGCTCCTTCTCGCAGAAACGGGTTTCGAGCAATGATCCGTCCTGAGTTGTGTATAGGGTCTTCCTCACAACTTGGTTGAGGATGTGTTTTACTACCTCCCTCATGTTCTCCTCCAAATGTCGGAGATCAATCGCTTGGCAAAGTGCCACCATGTATGTTGCAGACATGAGCTTTAAGATTTCTACCGCTTCCGCACTCTTCCTGGCAGAGATCAAACCGAGCGAGTTCACGTCCTGGTTATGTTGTTCAGCGCTTTGAACATGAGTGGTGACTGGGTTTGCCAGGTATTGAAGCTCCGAGCAATATGCCGCCATGGCGATCTCCGCACCTTTGAACCCGTAGTCCAGGCTCGGGTTGGGTCCGCCGCTCAGATTAGAAGGCAATCCGTTGTTGTAGTAATCACAGACGAGCTCGGAGAATTGAGCAAACATGAGCTTCCCGATCGCTGCGATGGCAATTCGGAGGTTATCCATCGAGACCCCAATTGGAGTTCCTTGGAAATTACCCCCGTGCAGAGCAATGTCACGAGCGACGTCGATCAATGGGTTGTCGTTAACAGAGTTGATTTCTCTCTCGATCGAGTGAGTGGCCATGCGGATCACTTCAATTTGTGGCCCGAGCCATTGCGGAGATGTTCTGAGCGCGTAGCGATCCTGCTTCGGCTTTGTTAGCGGGTCCTTCTCGTGACGGATCCTCGCTTCTTTCATGTCGCTCTCCTCCAGAAGGAACTCCATCACCGCGGCCGATTCGATCTGGCCGGGATGGTGCTTCAGCTCATGGGTCAGCGGGTCGGTAAATTCCGGCTTCCCGTGCATGGCTTCACAGAACAAGGCCGAGAGGATTTCCGCAAGCAGAGCCAGGATGTTGGCATCGAAACAAACTGTGGCAGACACAGCAGAGCCGACTGCAGTTCCATTGACGAGAGCTAGACCTTCCTTAGCCTGCAGCTCGAAATGAGCAGAAATCCCAGCTCGCTCCAGTGCCTCTTTGGACGTAATTTCATCGCCTTCCAGGGTGATTACTTTGGAGTTATGCCGGCCAGTTAGCAAGCCCGCAATGTAAGATAAGGGAACTAGATCGCCGGACGCAGTGATGGTCCCTCTCAGAGGCAACTTAGGAATCAAGTTTTTGTTCATGAGCTTGGACATGGCTTCCAGTATCTCCCACCTTATACCAGAGTAACCTTGCATCAGTGTGTTTGTTCGAACAAGCATAGCCGCTTTGGCATAACTGGCGGGAAGACTCTCTTTTCCGATCACACCGGCGTTGAGGAACCGAATGAGCTCCGTCTGGAGATCGGTAGTCTTGTTGGTGCGCCGATGGGAGGTAGCACCAAAACCAGTGGTGACGCCATACGTATCCGTTCCACGAGCAATGTTCTCGGCAACCCAATTGGCACTTTTTGCCACACGGTCCCGGGCCACAGCCTCGTCGAGAGTAACAGTCACGCTAGACCGACGAGCAACCGCGGCCACCTGAGCGACGGTGAGATTGGTGCCCTGGAGGTTAACTGTCTGGGACTGCTGGAACTGTGACACCATGCGACGTACTTCGTCATAGTGGGTGCACTGTAGAGCCTCGGCGGCCTTTTTCCAGTGTGGTGGATTGGAAACATTAGAATCGCCCGCTACGAAGATGGGATTCCTTCCACCTTTTGGAATGGGCAGGGTGGGAGGACGACAGTGGTCGATGGGATGGTGGATTCCATTCGTCGCCATTGCCGGAATTTAATTGGAAATATTGGAAGGAGGAGACTGGAGAGGATGGGGTGGCACCGCGCGTGGCAGGCAGATGCTCTCTGGATACTAATCGCAGAACACTAAAATAGAATGAATAATTGGAATGAACCAAGAGAGTGAAGGCGGAGGCGGAGGTGGCTGCGTCAATGGTCAAGTCTATACAAAAAGGTATTGGCTGGTGGGACTGTGTGGCTCTCTTCGTTCATGATTGGTGACTGTTGACTCCAAAGTCTCCAACAATTGAGTCCTGCTCTTGCATGGAGTGGAAGTTTAGTGTTTACCTTCTTCGTCGAGACACCCCCCCCCCCCTCTCTTTCCTTGAGGTAAGCTTTATATGGCTGTGGCTTTTTAAATTTGACCGTTGACTAATTGGAATGCTTCTTGAGTGTAGTCTTGTAAACTTGTCTTCTGCAGCCGTGCATTAAATGACATAGTATGGGAGATATTCCCGATGTGCGATTGCAAGAGACGCACTCTAAGGATTTGCCAACCTTTTTGGCTTTGATTAGATATTTAATCAGTACCCTTCTCCATCCATGTGAGCATTAGAGGGGATGGATCTACGAGTTCATTCGGCGGCTGATGATGATCTATCCCAGATCTGGCCATTTCCGGGTGCCTTTGCACCTGTTCATGGGCCGCGTCGGGCCGGGTTCGTGGCGGGTTTTCCTTCTTTATTAACAGAAAATGTGCGGCTCAATTCTGACCCCATGGGCTTGGTTTTATATAAAACTTGAAGTCCGAAATCCGATTGGTATACAAAATGTTTTATTTTCAGTATATTTTTATAAATTAATATTATAATAATTTAATAAATTAATAAAATAATTTATATTTCTTAATAGTAAATTGATATATATATATATATATATATATATATATATATATATATATATATTATGTATAACGTAAATACTTTTTTAATATATATATAATAGTATCGGGCCTGGGTCAGGTTATTTAAGAAAGCTTAAGCCCAGCCCGAAAAATGATCAGGACTGGTATTTAAAGCCCAAGCCCAAAAAATAATGCATCGGGCCATCAAGCTACCTGGCCCATGAACAAGTCTACGTCAAGTGAGAAGATTAAAACAAACACTATTTAAACCATTCTATAATTTAACAATCCATAATCTAAGAACAAGGCAGGTGCGGGTAAGGACTAGGTCTCACTGGCTAGAAACTGAATAAAGAGTATTATGGGTAAGCATAATTCGGTTAAAATCAAATACTTGAACCAAAAAATTTTGGTTTGGATTTTGGGGTTTTTGGTTAATCCAGTTTTTGAATAATTCGATTTTCAATTTCATTTTTTAGAATTAGAAAATTGATTAATCAAATAAGTCAAATTAACCAAACTTTGGTATATAATATGCAACATATAATGTATAATATATTTATATTATTTATGTATTAATATATAATATATTGAAATTTTCTTTTTTAATTATATTATAATATATATAATATAGTATATTAATAATTTGGTTTTGGTTCAATTTTACTTTTTTAGTTTAGTTTTAAAAATTTTGCTTTATTTGGCTAAAAACCGAACCAAATAAACAAATTGATTGAAAGAAAAAGCAAGATATGTAGTGTTGTCAATGGGTTGGGTCTAGGCTAGGACCAGCTAGAACCGGAACCGACCCAATAGGACCCGGAACCAAACCAAACCCAATAGGGTCTATAAGTTTCAGACCCAGAACCAAATCGATTGATTCTCAGGATAATCGACTCTAACCCGACATCCAATTATAATAAATAAATTAATATGATTAATACATATTTTATATATATATGCATGTATTATATGAATATAACTCAATTCGGGATTGGATGAAACCAATAATAATTGGGACACTATTAGAACCCAAAACGGATCCATCGTTCTAGTTCCTGGAACCAAAACCAACCCAATCGGGTCAAACCCGACCCATTGACAGCCCTAAAGATATGCCCATATGAGAGTTCAGAGATGTTCCATGTGGGATTCGATCGTCTCCCCTACCACCAGCAGGCAGCAGGAGACCTTACCAACCCGCTGGTTGGCGAGGTTTTGCACAGGAGTATCACATCCCTTCTTCGGAAGTTGGGAGTTTAGACCGGCACCCAATGTATGAGGTAAGCCTGGCTGTAACTCTGTTAAAGCTGTAACTAGAATCGGTGTCAGAGTATCAGACTACAAATCCCAATACGCAGGTGCTCAAGTTGAATAAGAAATAGGTGTCAGTATCACTCTAGTCTGGAGTCTGCACCCACAGACCCTTCGGGCTTCGTTCACCGCCATAGCTCGTGTCGTTAAGTTGTTCAAAAAGCAAACACCCAAATCAAATCATAGCATTCTCATGGAAGTAAGGTGACAGTATTGTGAGCATCAGTCATCTAATGAATGTGTTTGGTACACAACGGCTTCTACAGATTGCCAACAAATTACCAAAGACTCTACCATCCTCCTAAGAAAACTCGTGGCGTTCCTCGATTATTGCAATAGCCATTCGAGATCCACATCCACCACCATTAGCCATTGACATTCTTGATGCAGGAAGGCTCGGATTCAGATACAGAAAAAAAAAATGTAGTGTTTAGGCTTTCATTCGGGCATCATTCATATAGATAAGATTATAAGCAAAAGAAGACATATATCATGACGCACTGCTGAATAAGAAATTTAAAGTGATGAACCCCAAGGGCCAAGGCCCATTCTCAACATTGAGATATGGAAGTCACTTCTCTTCCCAGTATACTGCGTTGTCACCGTCATCATAATCATAACCTAAAGCCGTCAACGGTGCACCCCAACTCAATTCTCAATATTGGGATATAGAGACACAGCCCATTAATGCTTATGATAAATAGAAGATGAGAGTTGTCACACTTCCGCCAAAATTTGTGCATCATTGCCATCATAGAACATTGGGATAGACTAGCTCTTCCCTTCCAAATCTTTAACGACCAAAAATAATGGACACCAATACTTGTCAAATATTCCTAGCGTTTCTTGCATCCCCTGGTGTGGATACTTGTCCCAACACTCCCAACGCCTTGTACCCTTCATGTAAAGCACAAGCTTGTTCCATTCCACACCTGTACCCTTCATGCCACCTCTGATGCTTTATAAAATGATGCCGACCTGAGAAATGGCATTTCTGTAAGTCTGCCTGACCTGAAAATACTTGGTAGTATTTCTGTCAGACCATGTGGCAATGAGGAAAACTAAAAGAATTTCAACTAAATTTAAATTTCTCTAGCAACAAAAATGAGCTTATGATATAGATGGTCCAAACCATATAAATTATAATGCAATTGAAGAAAATGCAAGGCTTTCAGTCTAACAAGGCAAAAATATATATCCTACATAGAATTAAACAAGGGCATTTTTCAGAAGACTTACAGATAAGTAGTATTATCATTCCACAGTAACATCCAAAATTAAAGTACCACTACACATGACATGCCCAACATGGCATTATAGACTAAGGTAAAACCTGATTGACTACTCAGTTAGCTAAGTTCACCATGAGAGCATACAGAGTTTGAGAACCCATCTTATGCCATCAAGGACGCGCTCTCTTGTTGCTGCAAGATGGGCATTTGTACTGCTTGATATGCTCAGCCCTTGCTGGAGTGATCTTCACACACTTGCCATGAAACCACTTTTCACAAATGTCACAGCAGATCCAGAACTCATCTGAGGCATAGTTCTCTCCACATGCCCCACACAGGGTCTCCCCATGCTCCTCTTCATCTTCCTCATCCAAACCCTCCTCCTCTTCCTTTGGCTGCCCCTTGGAATACTTGCCCTGAGATTCAGACCCTCGCTGCTTGTTGCCAAAAGAAAAAGAAATAGTAATAAAGACAACACAATTGAAGTCAATGTCAATAGTCTATTAATGGGGTTTCTAAACACAGAAGATCCTATCATTTTAGCTTTTTCGCAGCATTTTAATAATGTGTACAAACAACTAAAGTGACCTCACTTCAATCTTTTTTAGAAGTACCCATCAAAAAATAAAATCATTATTGGAACTGCAATACTGCCAAATAGCACTGCTGCACATTCAACACACTAGAAGACAGATGGTCACCCTTGTCTTCTGATGCATTTGATGTTGCCCGATTGTGCCTTCTTTAGCACATTGGACAAGCAGTGTTGCTGCATCTGCATTTCTCTTGCTGAAACTCCTAAAATAAATCCAGTCTACAATTCAATGACAACTAGAACTAAACATTTTACCCGAAGAGATTTCAAAACAAGAAAAAAAATAAAACAAAAAAAAAACAATATTACTCGTCAAAAAAAATAGTGGCTTCAGACAATATATAAAACATAAAGATCCAATCAACCAAATGCACAGTATGAGTAAACGAGTCAAACAATGAAAACAATAAAAAATGTTTTTTAGTGCAGACCTATAAAAGTTGTCCAAACTGGTTACTTTGGAAAAGACAAGCCAACGTAACAGAGAAACCTTTTTAGTATAGAATTGGTAGATTATGTAGTATATACACACACACACAGACAGTGCACGAGTTAGTATACATGTTTATAACTTTGTTGAAAATTTCTCAGAAAAAGAAACACCATCATCATCATCTAAACCTTATCCAAACTATATGGGGTTGCAACCAGTGATTTACTATAGGAATGGATAGAGCTTAGATACAAGGACACTTCACCGGTTTAGAGTTTGGCTTGGATTTGTTGCTGCTATGATTTGAAACAGATGACTTCTCCTTTACTTGTTTCTTTGCAGTTCCAGTCACAACCTCGAATATTGTTGGGAGATCATTTATCATGCTAAAGAGACGTTTTCTGCATGGCAAATCCCCGCACATTGTTATGTGGGTTGGGGGTGATTGCAAGAGAACATAATCACAAAAGAGACTTACTGCAGCTAGTTCACTTAAAAAGCTAATAAAGCATGATATGATAATACAACATTCAGCTTTCAAAGTCCAACCAATAATAGAAGATAAACAATTTTGTTTAGACAATAATACAAAGTGATTGCAAACAGCCAACAGATTAAATCTGCCCAAACAAATAGACTTGAAAAACCTCCAGGTCGCTTTGTTTTCTGAAGTTAAATATGGAAAAATTCAGTTTACTTCCAGGCTTCCAGCAATATTCATCTGCAAATCTAACAAATGAAATTTGCAACTGCAAGGTCCGCAAGTTCTATATCATAGATTCATGTTGTGCCAGTTACTTTGAAGGAACATGATCTGCCCTGGTTCCAACCAGTGCACTAAACTGTATTCCAAAAGCAACAAAACGTCCACAGGAAGTTTAAATTCTTTACACACAACTCAAATCTTCACGATCAAATAACAATAATGCCATTGCATGCAGGATAAATGTGCAAGCAAGTTCAAGAGCAATAGGGAAGTACAGCTTCACATGAAGATGTAAGTGGTTCACTAGTGTGCAACATTATTAAACTCGTAAGAATTTAGTAGAAGACAACTTAGATGATGTCACAACTCACAAGTATAAATAGGTAGGGGTGAACATTCTGTTTATTCGGTTAAAAACCAAACCAAATAAATTGAAATTTTAAAAACCAAACTAAAAAAATAAAACCAAAACCAAATTATACAAAAACTGAAATAACTGAAACCAAAATTTTTGGTTCAGTTTTCGGTTAAAACCAAATTTTAATAATATATAGTCTATTATATATATTATAGAATGTAATATATATTATATATTATAAAATATATATTATGAAATCAAATTTCATTTTATCATATACTAATGTATAAATATATTATATATAATAATAGAATTCCGGTTAACCAAATTTATAATTCTAAAAACCAAACTGATTTAACCAAATATCGAAATTTTCGGTTCAGTTTTTTCTTTTCTTGGTTTTAACCGAATAGTGCTCTCCCCTATAAATAGCTAAAGATATGAGGTTACTGTTGGACTCATGAGATGCTGCAATGCAAAATGCATCTGCCTTTTTTCACTCACATTGGGGGGAAGCAGAATATCCAGAGTATAAATACTTTACATTATACCTGTTTTGATTTTCTATTCATTGATTATAAATAGAAAAGCTGGCACATAAAACAAACAATAGTTTTTTTTTCAACCTTCATCAACAGTAGTCTAACAACCATTATATCTTTATTCTGGAATCTAACATGTATATTATTTAAAAATATCAAATAATGTAGCACAAGATGATAAATAATTTATTGAAAAAACTTAAACAATTTCTTTGTGGTGAAGCTTCTAAATTTAGACCTGCTAATACCATAACCGCATTCAGAGAAGTTCAACAAAAATCATGATTTGTTGATGGCATGTTGACCTTTCACCATCATAGAGATTTTTTTGCCTACCATCATTAGACTTTCCAGAGCCAAAGCTATCCAGATGTCTATATGCACTTACAGGAAACCTCAACAATTTAAGAAAAATTAAAATTGATAGCCTAAAAAAGAGAGACAGGATTACTTTTTTAACCAGCAAGATGGATCTCTAAACCGTAGAAAAAGTGAGTAGATGTCAATTCACCTTAGCTGCTTTTCGTAAATCTACAGTAACAGATCCCAGAGAACTTTAGCATGGCAATCCACCATTGTAATATAATATTACATGCAAATGAAACTATGAAAACTTGTATTTTAACAAATAATATTACATGCAAATGAAACTATGCAAACTTGTATTTTAACAAATAATGTTACATGCAAATGAAACTATGCAAACTTGTATTTTAATAAATGGTAAGCAATCTTTTTTTTTTTGAAAGGTAAAGTGTTGTATTCAGCATGAGCTGTAAAAAGACTGTACAAGAGGCTACGCAAACAACCTTAAAGCCCCCCAAAAAAGTTCACCCTCAAAAATGCCCCAGAACAAAAAACATCTTTAAACAAATCAGAGCTAGACAACCAGCTTCTCAACTCTTCCACTACAAAGTTAATCACCCCAGCCTCAGTCCTGTTGTTTTGTTAAAAAATCCTATTGTTCCTTTCTATCTAGATTGCCCATAAAACAGCAGCTGGAACGGCAGACTATACTAGCTTTCCTTCCTTGGACATACCAAGAACTCTCCACCCTTGTAGCAAACCAAAGACTGATTCCGGCCAGCACCAACTCAGAATTATAGCTCTAAGGAAGTGTTGCCACACCTCTGCTGTGAAACCACAGCGTAAAAAAAGGTGATTTGCTGTTTCTGGAGCCAAATTGCACAAGGGACTGTTTAAATCTGATAAGTTGAAAACCTTCCTACTAAACATTCCTCTGGTGATACATTTTCCTTTTTTTTTTTGATGAACGAGTATAGGTGACACATTTTCCTTTCGCAGCTATCCACAGAAAAAATTTGACTTTCAAAGGAGCTGCGGTCTCCCATATGGCTCTAGATGGGAAGGGCTGGCTGTTACTCCCCAGCAAGCCCAGATAGAAAGATTTGACAGTAAAACAACCAGGTTTGGACCACAACCAGCATCTAGTATCCTTAGATTGCAGATCTGGCTGTTGCTCTTGAATCACAGAGAGCAGTTCAGCCACCTGATCCAACTCCCAGTCGTTGAAATTCCTTCTGAAAGCAGGGGACCAAAGTACAACCCCTCCCACCTGTGCAAAATAATCTGCAACCGACACCAAATTGTCTTCAGCTGCACCATACAAAACAGGGAACCTTTCTTTTAGAGAGAAGTTACCACACCAAGGATCCAACCAGAACTTCAGTCGCCTACCATTTCCTACTTTATAAGAAATACCTCTGATGAAAAGAATATAGGCTTTATAAACACCTTTCCATACACCACCCAAAAGATTGCTGTGACCATCCGGCATCCCAACCATTTTCACTAAAACCATATTTTTCAACTATTAACATCCTCCACAGCTCCTGACTCTCAGTGGAGAATCTCCAAAACCAGCTTCCCAAGAGAGCAAGGTTGAAGGGTTTCACCTTCCTGATCCCAAGCCCACCATGGGAAATGGGCTTGCATATTTCTTCCCACTTTACCAAGTGGTACTTAAAGGAGTCTTTCCACCCTTGCCACAGAAAGTCCTTCATCTTTTTCTCAATCTTCACAGCCACCTCCGTGGGCATCAAGAAGAGACGTATAGTAGGCCGGCAAGCTGGCCAGAACACTTCTTAACCAAAACCAGTTTACCCCCTTTGGAGAGATATCTAGCTTTCCACGAGGCAAGTTTTCTATCAACTCTTTCAAAAACGGGATTCCAAATGCTGCTTGAGTTACTCTTTACCCCTAAGAGAAGACCAAGGTAAGAGGAGGTGAATGTACCTGTTTTACACCCCAACACTTCAGCCAACTCTTGAAGATTCAAGATGGTCCCAACTGGCAGCATTTCACTTTTAGAGAAGTTAACTTTCAGACCTGACACCAGCTCAAAAGGAAGCAGAGATTAAGGACCTGCTCCAGAGAAGCCTCACAAAAAAATAGTGTCATCAGCATACTGCAGCAATGAGACTCTTGTACCTCCAGGACTGATCTCAAAACCTCCCAGCAGGCCTGACTCTGCCACTCTTTCAGTCATTTTGCTTAAGCCCTCCATTACTATCAAGAACATCAAAGGTGACAGAGGGCCACCTTGTCTTAAACCCCTCGAACTTGAACTTGCCTTTAGCTGCCCCGTTGATCAAAACCGAGAAACTAAAGGTTGTGATACAAACTTTCATCCAGTTTCTCCATTTCTGCCCAAACTGCATTCTGTCCAACATGTAATCTAGATAAGCCCAGTTTACATGATCGTAAGCCTTCTCTAGGTCCACTTTACAAACCAGACCTGCCTCCCCACTCCTAACTTTCGAGTCAATGAGTTCATTGGCAACTAAGACACTGTCCTGTATATGTCTGTTGCTTACAAAAGCACCTTGATAACTGGAAACCAGAGATCTCATGACCTTCCTTAATCTTATAGACACTCCCTAAGAAGCTGATGGGTCTGAAATCTTTCAGCTCTTCGGCTCCATTCTTCTTAGGGGCTAAGGAGATGAAGATTGAATTCAGACTCCTCTCAAAAGCCGTCGAAGCATGGAATTCCTCAAAGACTTTTAGAAAATCTTGTTTGACTAGCTCCCAATATTTTTTAAAGAAACAGATGGTAAAGCCATCGAGTCCAGGAGCCTTCTCCCCTTCCAGCTCATCCACAGCTTTCTTGATTTCAACCTCTGAGAAAGGCTTTTCCAGCTCTTCTGCCTCTCGCCCAGAAAGGCTTTTGAAACTCAGCCCCTCTGGCTTTGGCCTAAATCTGCACTGTTCTCTGTATAAGTTCTCGTAGAAACTCCCAGTAGCCTTCTCAATTTCTCCTTTCTCTTCCACCTCACAACCGCCTTGAAATTGAGTTAACTCTCTGTCTTCCATTGGCCATCTTGTGGAAGAAGGCAGTATTACTGTCACCTGCCCTTAACCACTTGATTCTTGATCTTTGCCTCCACTTGACCTCCTCCTGAAAAGCCAACACATCAAAATTGTTTTTAACAAGCAAACTGTTCAGTCTTTGGTCTTCCCCCAAGGGACCTGCTTCTTCCAGAAGGTCCAGTTCCTTAATGATCTTCAGACATTCAGCTTTTTTGATTTCATCAGCTTTCAGCCTATCCTTTTGCCACTCCTTTATTTTGCTTTTAAGCCATTGGAGCTTCTTGCTTAAGACATGACTTGCAGTGCCTTCAAAAGAAGCATCAGCCCACCACTTCTTGACAATGGAATCAAACTCTGCATCTCCCAGCCAACAGAGCTCCAGTCTAAAAGGTTGACCCTGTCTTCTAATTCCATTTATGTTCAGCTGCAAGGGCACATGGTCTGAAACTGGTCTCGGAAGTGCTTCTTGAATCGAATTGGGAAAGTACTCATCCCATTCATTGGAAATTACAAACCTATCCAATCTGACCAGAGAAGGCTGATCTTGGTTGTTAGTCCAAGTATAGGACGCTCCAGCCAGAGGCAGATCAGTCAACTCCCATTTCTGCATGAAATCTGAAAATAACCACATACCTCTATCTGATCTAGTGCAGTCCTTTCTGTCTTCCACCCTTAGGATGGCATTGAAATCACCACCGATTGTCCAGGGTCCACTCCACTTCCTTCTCACACCCTCTAGCTCCACCCAGAAAGCTTCTTTTAGGCTGGACTCAACGGGGCCATAAACTCCTGTCGCAACTCACAACCAAAGAAACATCAGATTGGGATCCAGTGCAGTCTAACTGAAACAGAAAATCTGTATCTAGCTGCTTAAAGCTGCTTGTGTTCCAAATTACAGCTACACCGCCAGCAGTGTTAACTGACAGTAGTGACAGCCAATCACATGGGCCAAAACCCCATACACTTCTCCCTATTCTGGAGCTGAAATTTTGGAGTTCGTTTCCTGCAACAAAAGGATATCAGATTTCTTTTCCTTCAAAAAATTCCCAATCACCGGTCTACTACCAGAGCCAAGTCCTCTCACATTCCACAAAATCAATTTCAAGTTCTCCATAAATTATCTTCTTACGGATCTGCTATTTCGGCTCCCCACCCCTCCACCATCATTAAGGCCCCAAGCCAGATGCAATAGCTCTTTAGATTGCCTCCGGTTCTTCCTTCCCTTCTCCATTAAGTGTCTATTCTCAATTGCAACCAACAAAGCTTTTGTTTAATCCTCCAAGCCTCTTATAGAGATAGCCAAAAAATCCCCAAACGACAACAGCTTAGACAGCACCCACGCCGATACCTCTTCCTCCTTTGTGTACCTTAGGTTAACTATCTGATGCTGAGACACTGCAAGGGGACCAACAGCTTCTTTGTTTCCTGGTAAAATCATTGCTAATGGTTCCTAGAAGACAGATGGTGAACCTTCTAACGCAGTCAAAGCCCCTACCATAACCAAGTCTTCTGTATTCCTTTGCAACAAAACACCGTCCATACTCCATAGATCTCTCCCTTTCTGTATCTAGGCTGAGAGGATCACCTCCTTGTCCACTCCCCCCCCCCCCACTAAAGGCCTTTGTCCCTTCTAGGCCCCTACAGTCCTAAGCCACAAGAGACGAAGGGACTGGTTGAGGAGTCAAAGAGCTCGATTCCATTTGTGTCTCCTACCTTGAGGTTTTACTTATGGACCAGCTTTCTATGAAGGTTGAGATAGAACTACCGTCATCCTGCGAGAAAGGTTCTTCTATGTCTGACTCTTCTAAAGAAGAAGAAGCAGACACCACCACCTCTTTCCCCTTTCTTGACCCTTGCGCAGAAGGCTTTCCCTTAAACACCATTCTAGGAGGGCTTTTAAACCGAACTGGGCCAGGCCCACTAGGATGATTAGCCTGACTTGGTTCGCCCAAAATAGCCAGTTCCAAATCCCACCCTTTCGGCTTGAACCGATCCAAAACCGTGCCTGCTAAGCGGTCTAAAAAGGACTCTTCATCCGCCACTTCCAAGTTTTTTAAAATTTGAAAAGATTTAAACCCCTTTCTCGAGTTAGTCTGACCTGCCTTTTCTTCTTGATCGTTCGATCCAAAGTCCATCCTACGGCTCTGATGTTTCTTCCTCCTCCTTCCACTGACTGTCTGCCAACCATCTTCTTCTGAATGTTTTAAAAGAGCAAGGCGCATGGGTCAATTTGCACCTAAGGCGCAAGGCAAGGTGTGCGCCTTTTTAAACAAGGCACAAAAAAAACTAAAAAATCAAAAATGCCAAAAATTCAAAAAAAGATCAATTAATTATCAAACATAATGTTAATAAAAAATATTAACTTAAATTTTAAAATAAATGTTTTAAAAAACCTATTATCTAAAATTAAAATACATAAATATAACATGTAAACCATATTCAAATGAGAATTTAAAAATAAAATCAAATATATAAAACATTTTCAAGCATATAAAATTCAATCTCTTTTTTTCTCAATTGCATTACTTCAAGTAGCCAATGTGATGTAAAACATATTACATTCCTGATTCTACAAGCCGCCTTTGTGCCACGCCCATCGAGGCAAGCCCAAACAAGTCCATGTTAGGTCTTAAATTCTTAGTTCTCACACAAAAAATAATGTTTTTATAATTTTAATTGCATTTTAAGAGGATATTTTATTAGGATGAATGAATGAACAACATTACCAAATAGGCGCAAAAAAGCATCAAATTTTCAAAAGGCGCACGCCGTGCGCCTAGGACCTGGGCAAGGTGCCTACTTTAAAATGTCTCGCCTATGCACCTGAGGCGCGCCTTTTAAATCATTGCTTCTTCTCTAGCTCTGGCACTCTCATGAGCCCTAGAAACTTCCAAAGTGTCCGAACACTCCTCCGCCTGCTACTCTAAGCCATTGGAGTTTTCCAACCGCCCTTTAATGTCTTCGCTAATGCAAAAGCCTATCAGAGCTTTCTAAATTAGATTCTGCTCGACTTGTAACGCTTCAGCAAAATCCGCCAGCACTGGCATCTTTTCCGGCTTTATCTCTGGCCAGATTGTAACCACATACATTGAATTACCCACTACTACATTAACCATCAGGGGAGGTACCCCTGACCCGCGTGCTTTAACTCAAAAAAACTCTACACTTCATTTACCAGTTTCAAAGTTATCGGCTTCCAAAAAGCCTCTATAGAGGTCCCCTATGCCTCTAGCAAGGTTCGTGCTCCAAAGGTGTAACAACAAACCATAGACCCTTACCCACACAAAACCAGGTATCTCCTTGGAGGATTGCCAAGTTCCAGACGAGTCTGACCAATGTTCAAGGTGCAACAGAGAACCTTTGAAACATCTGGAACCAAAGTTCACCACTCTTCTAGTGTCTTCGAAAGAAGGGAGGAGGAAAAGCCAATACTCGTCATCAAGCCTACGCATCCCAATGCCTTTCGAACAACCCCAAGCTTGAGACACCCACCGACCTACCTTCTCCACCCTCAAGTTTTTCCGGTCAAAACATCCGACCAGGCACGCCTGAAGAAAACCCTCTCGCTTTTCCACTCCTCTGGCATCTACTTCCAAGGAAAGGTGTAGATGGTTAGCTTTAACGCTCACCTTACCTTCCGACGGCCAAACCCAAGGGTAACCATTCTTTCCAGCCTGTCCCCACATCTCTCTTGAGGGAAAACTTTCCTGATTTTGATCGAAATACCCTGGTCCCATCTTTTGACGGTGGCGAAAGCCATTCCTTTCAATAGGCTACCACCAGCGAGATCTTTTGTCACCGACCAAAGCCATCAACTAAAAGGAACTTTCATGGCAATATAAAATTTTCAAGTACAGTGAAGCTTCGGTGGTTCTCAAATCGAGAAGGGTTTCTTCTCCCCCGCCCATGCATTTTTAGTCAGAGGTAAGCCTAACTCGATTTCGATTGCTTGATGAAAGCACTAACACAATTCTCTTCTCCTCAAAAATAGAAGTATTTTACAAAGTTAATAAAAATAGAAGTATTTTACAAAGTTAATAAAAATAGAAGTATTTTACAAATATCATTGCATAGAATACACACATACTATTTTACCTTATAAGTGTTTTGTTCTTATGTTCCATAAGATAGAAAACATGGATCTGCCACCCCATTTAGAAAACACATTACCAAGATAAACTCTTAAGTTACAAGTCTATTGTATTAGAGGATTCTGACATTTAGATAGACGATGTCCAACCTGATTTAAATTATTTTTATGCATATATTATGCAACTCTAGATAAGAGCTTACCCCTACTATTTGTCAGGGGGAAATAAGCAGTGAGCGGGCCCTAGTACAACAAGGGGAAAAAAGATGATAGCAATTTGCTCAGGAGAAACATCTAAGCTGTGAAAAAACAAATTCAGTAAGGATGTAATGAAATAAGCTTTTAAAAACAATGCTCTTAGTTTTGGAAGCAAAAGAATTTGAGAAGTTTGTTTGGTACACACTTTTCAAAGTTGTTGTCAAGGAAAAAGCTTCTTGCATTTTCATAAACAATTTGCTTCAAATCTAGATTTTTATGTCCCAAACAGAATTCAAATCAACAAACAAAATAGCCATTTCCCAATACAATCACCATTTCTTACATAGGATAGCTTCCAAGTGAAAGGCAAGACATAAGGAAGATATCCATAACTTCATAATAGAGAGAATTACCTATCATTTTTATCAAATCCAAATCTGGCACCAAAATAAAATGCCACGGCAAGCAACCAAGCATCACTATGAACTGCAACCAAAGACAACCAGTCCTTCTCTTGCATCCCATCTCTCGCAAAGTTAATACCCAAGGCAGGCTCAGGGAGCTCCGGAGGCACCTCTTCAGCAGGTAAATTCACTTCCCATTGCTCACTAGGAAAACCATACAGGCAAAGATTCTCCTTCTCTGTATAGTCCATAAATTAGTAAATGGAGTTATAAGAAAAGGAGCAACAAAATAGATTGTAGGGATACTACAAGTCAGGAACATACAATATCTGAACACAAAATTCTTTCCACAATCACTGATCAAGACCTTAAAACAATGTCAATAATAGCCCATTTTAGTTGTATTTCTTTTGCAATCTGTGGCTTTAAGGGTGTTCCCCTCTAGGTTTTTGCCTTAGAGGTAAGGTTGAACCCCCACACCTCACCACCGTGCAAATTTCTCTGATTATTTTATTAAATAGCAGGTGCAGCAATCACCTCTGGATTGGGGAGGGGACCCCAGCGAAAGCATGATCCTTTCCATCATAGGCTCTGAGGAGAGTTATCCTGAAGAAATGGCCATAAACTATCCAAGGGGAGAAAAGGATTCACTTGGAGCCTTCTCCCCAAGCCATGTTACAAAGCATCATAATATTAAAAGGTATATTTTGGCATTAGGACCTGAGCTGAAACTACACTTTCCAAGGAATTAATAATACTCAATGTTTTAGAGGCATGTCAAATTCAAATTCGAATTTGAACATTGCCTTAAATGTAGTATTTAATTTGCCTATAAGGCATGTCATTAAATGTGATACTTAATTAAGAGTTACATAAATTAAATTTGAATTTGAAAAGTTACTAAAATTGAGGTTGAAAGAGAGAAATTCATTTTGATATTTAAAAGTTGCCAAAATTAAGAAAGAAAGGGGAATATATTAAATTCAAATTGTATAGGCCAATACAGACTCAAAGCGGTTCTATATAGGCTCATACCAACGAAAATAAACGAAACATACAGATTTTGCGAAACATATCTTTAGAAACGATGATCAAATCAATGAATTCAACAAAAGCTCTTTCATTCAAAATATATCTTTAGAAACGATGATCAAATCAATTTGTGCCAACAAAAAAAAAATAGCAATGGCAAGGTTGTGTCTGATTGCAATTTGCAAACATAGTTGTCAACATGTCACCTAGGTGCAAGCTCCCCCAAAGTCACGGCTTATATTAAATGTGCCCTTCTAGGTGACTAGGTGCTCACATAGGCAACAAAAATAACAAAACAAGTGCCTTATTGTAGTATTACTACAAAGGCTACATCTTATTAGTATGTGCATTGATAAATCCTATTATATATAATAAGTATTACTTATCTGTTGCTTTAGTATAGCTTTTGAGAAGAAAAAAGAAAGAAAATAAAAGGATGGTTTTTTTTCCTACAATTACACTTATATTTTTTATTGGTATAAAATTGTAGTCCTCTTTAGTTTCTAATAAATTTTAATATGCAATTTCTCTATTAAATACTTATTATACTATAATGTTGTGTTTGAAATATGGAAATTTAAAAAACTTAAAATGACATTTTCTTTTAGATGTGATGATTTGCCATGTTTTTAGAGAATAATTAATATGAATAAAGAGAATTGCTATTTTTTCATTTTGCATGCATGCTGATCGGCATATAAAATTAGAAAACTTAAAATGATCATGTTGGTACCCACATTGGTTAGGTGATAGGATTTTACAAAGAGAAAAAAAAAAAAAAACTAAATTCTAGGATCACCTAAAACTGCCTATATGCTTTAACAACCAACTCAATCCAGACCTAGTTTACATAATCTGCTGGTGTTTGGTTCTTGACTCAACAAGGACCCATTTTGATAAGGATTTATATACAATCCCACATCCAAATAAATTAAAGTGATGAATTGAACATTACCTACTTTAAATGAATACAGTTCAACTTGGTCTATCTCTTCTTCAAGATAATAAATACCAATTCAAATCCAACTAGAAATGGCAAAATCCCAATGGAACATGTACTTGACCGAGTTCAAAAAGAGCCAAACCAGATCCAATAAAAATGTACAAGTTGACACATGTTAAGATCAAAATTGGTAAATGACAATAAGTTGAAATTCAAATGTAACAAGCTCCTGTTTTGAATGGGAAAAAGGACTTTTTATATGAATGCCAAAGGCAGAGCACCCATATCCATACCAAAAGCCTACTAGCAATAAATTCACAATGATAAGTTTAGAAAGCATCAACAAATATAGCAGAGAAGTGCAGCCCAACTGCCAATAACCTCAAACTTAAGCCCTACCAGACCACCCCCTCCTCCCTCTCAAGGAAGCTCTGCTTCCCTCGGTCCCTCCCCCTTCTCTTTCCCTTAACACCTTCTCCTTCACCTCAATAACTCAATTGATCCTTCCTTTCTTGCAAGTAACCAGTATTTAACCTACATTGCATGCTCCAATACATGCCTTCATTAGAACATATGGTGGCCTTAGGATGTTGGTTAGCATTCTGTCTTTGCACAGTTACTTCAAAGTTGATCCTGAGTCTAAGTACCACAAATCTTTAATGTGAATTCAACATCCACCATACCTTATCCATGGCGTTCCTTGCCATGTCTTTGAAAGACACCAGCTATTCTGAGGTCATTAACAATTGCTACGTCACCAGAAAGGCAGAAGTAAAGATGCCAATCATGTTAAAACCACAGTTAACAGAAATGGAGGGTACAGGTCAATAGTCACCATATCACCAGGGTGAAAAATAGTTAATGTTTGTTAATATTTGCTGCTTGCTAAAGGATATATAGAAGTTTAAAGAACACATTTAATCTTCTTTTCTTTTTCATAAGCCAATAATATCCATATTTGATTTGTTTTCTCTTAAAAATTCTCATTTCAAATGGAAAATTACAAGAGCAAAATAAAACTCTGACAGAGAAAGAGTTGGAGGTTTGCCCTTTACTATTTCATTTTCTTGGACCACAAACAGTTAGAACTATGCTTGAGTCTGAGAGTGGCTACTTCATTAGTAAAATTGCGTTCATATCCAGTCAACCAGCTTTGAGTAATGGCCTTTTTTATGTCAACAAGGCTATATTACAGATCAATGTCATAACAGCCATAAAAGTAAGATGAGAACAATATATGTTGACACACAAAAAAAGGAAGTAACATATTAAAATAATTTAGGAATTGAAATGTGGCTCCCATGAATTTCTCATCCAAAACCTAAAAAACACAGGAAGAAAAAACTTGGCTGGCTATCTCATATAGGTTCTTTGACCCACCTAGGGAAGTCTCTAGACACTTGGCTGGCTATCTCATATATTCAGCCAATGTTCCAGGAAGCATATACATGCAAAAGTCAGCAACCATAAAATCAACAGTAATTCCTCATTAAACAGCCACTAAACATTTCTTTATACAAGTAAGATAGAAAAAATAATTATAAACAACCATTTGGACGTAATATATCATAAACAATCAGGGAGAAAAATGTTGTATTGCCTTAAAATTAAACTAAATTAACAATCACAAATCACCATCTGCTCCACAACATAAGACATTTAGTTCAAATAATAAAAACAGTGTACAAAATGCATATAGAGGAAAGTCAGGTAGGAAGAACTTCATAAAGCGGAAGAGACAAAAAGAATAATGAAAGTAGCATCTGCAACCAAAAGCATGCAAACAGAATCCTAGCACACAAGCAAGAAATGCTAGTAATTGCTTCCCCTGAAGAAAACAATGAATAGAAAAGGTCGAAAAAAACTATGATATCTGTGAAGAAGGTCCTAATCGAGATTCTGAGAGTAAAACGACACTACCACATCGAATCCTAATCAATAGTTCAAAGAAAACCATACACGGGGACATTACATCACAAAAGAAAAAATAATAGTGAAAAAATATGCAAGGAAAAAACGAGGCGTAAACCCTAACCAGGATCGCACTGCTGAAAAAATTCGTCAACATCTGCAGTAAGAGAAGATAAAAAAAAAAAAAAAAAACATGAGGATTCACAAAAAGAACACTCCAAACCCCTAAATTCAAACTAAAAAACCAATTCTAAAAACGAAATCAATAATGTTTCTGAAAAATGAGAAAAAAAATACCCGTGGTGAGAGCTTTAATCATGCCAGCTCTTCGGCCCTTGAAATCCCTAAAGACCTCTTCAACTGTGCGAGGATTGTACGTTCCACCTCCGTCCATGGCTTCAACGCTCCAAAAACTTTTTAAGTTTTCTAAGGGAAGTAAACGAGAAGACGAAGACGAAGGCCAAGTAGTAATAGACACGGAAATTAGTGGTTTGCAACGATATTTGTCGAGATTTGAAAGGAACAAGAAGTAAACCAACACAGTCAATAAGCGGGAGAGGGAAGAGAAAGAGAGAGCGAAAGTCTGCAAGAGCTTAGAGAGAGAGAGAGAGAGAGAGGAATGGGCGTTTGTTTGAAAGGAGGGAAAAGGGCAAAAATATTTGACCCCTCACAGTTGAGAGAGAGAGAGAGGGGGTGGGATAAAATCATAGAAGGCCTCGCGGATTTGAATCGCCTTGAAATGGACGGATTAAAGTGGATTTGAAACACCGGTGACAAGTCCGGGGAGGCGGATTGCGATATTGTGATAAATCGAGGAAAGGCTAACGTGAGCCGATGGGTGTTCAACAATAAGAAAACCTCAGTTCAACTCGTGGGTCATAAGATCCTACGCTGAATGTAACTATTAACGGTCAAAATTTAAATCCTGCTATAAATGCTACAGACTTCCATCTTCCTCAGAGTGTTTTATGATTATATTTTTTAGGGAAATTGATGTACCTGTACTTTAAGGTAGTGACGCATAACTTGCATGTTATCAACACTCTTTAATTGAAATTAGGGTAGTGGTAAATTTATCAAAATGCTCATCTATTGTTTTAGCAACAAATAAAATAAGATTGCAAGATGACATAAATGGCTATGATTGCTTCAATTAGCATATCTCTTTGCAAACAAAATTTCTGAGCATGATTAGATCATTGTATTGCTTCAACGCCCTGTTTGTTCAATTATTTAAAAGAATAGGAGAAAGAAAAATAAATTTATGAAGTTATAGTTAGGTATTAAAATTTTTAAAATATAAATAGATATAAAAATTACAAAAATGTAGAAAAAAATAGACTTTGTGATACTTTCATTTATCAAATTAAAAAAAAAAAATAATTATAATAAAAATGAAATACATATTTTAGAATTGATCAAAAATAAAATCATTTTAATATTTGGCAAAGATCAACAGTTCAACTTTAGTGTCAAATGTATTAACATTTAATGTCATAAATAAATAATAAAAATTAATAAAATAAAAAATATATAAATGTTGCAAAAAAAGACTAATGCACAAGTATAATATTAATTAATTATTACATTAAATAAAAAGTAAGTGTGACATATCGGAATTATTTTTACACGGAAATATAAAACAAATATAGAAAAACAGGACACATCTATAATTCTATATTTACACAACTATTGAAAATACAAATAAGATTTGGGAACTTTCTTTTGGTAAAAATAAATGTTTTAAAAACCGATCCAAAAACAGAACCGCTTTGTCGTTCGTTTTTGAGTTAGTGGTTCAATTGTCGCTACAACATCGCTTGCCCTATTCTTGTATCTCTCTCATCTCTCTAAATCTCTCTCAAAACCCATATCATTTGCTTCAATGGTGTATCTCATATTTTAATATAAGATCGATGTTTGATCTCTCATCTCTTGCATCAATTTTCCATTTTCTTCATTGGAGTTACAATTTTTTTTGTTACAATTTAAATAATCACATAAATGAGAAAACTCAATATCAAAATGGAATAACTAAAAACCCTAACTAATTTTGGTCATTAGCAATAATCGAACAAGATTTGAGATATGAAAGTTTGGTTTATCATTTTTATAATTTTTACTTTTAAAATAAATAAAAATGGAATTAGTTTAAAAGCAACCCAATAACTGTTATCCAGATCAAAACATTTTAATGATTAAACAATATGGATCAGCAATTCTCTGACCATTTCAACGGTTTTTTTTGTAAAATAACGGTTCAGGGCCAAAACAGAACTAATGACTTGACTAGTTCATGGGCGAAAATGGTTCAATTGTTCGGTCTGGTCCGATTTTTAAAACATTTACTAAAATACTCGTTTTTTGAATTTAGTCCCTATTTAATTGTAAGGTTTAAATTGTAAATTGAAATACTACTTTTCACCTTATTCAATTCCCTATATTTAAATCCTACATATTTTCAATAAATAGACAAAAGAAAAAAGTTCTATATCTATACTATATATAAAAGTGGGATGTAGAGTGAAAGTTTTTTTGGACTAAAATTATCCTATATTTATTTATTTGATAACGGGTATGAAAGTTATTTTATTACAACTTTAATGCCAACTTTTGATGACTACTAAATGTTCATATTTGTCTATTTATTACATCTCTAATTGTAAGGGTTAAAACTGTAACTTCAATTATTATTTTTCACCTTATTTAATCCCCTTTCATTAAGACTTACTTAAAGGTATTAACTCTCATTTTCTCTTATTAAATCTTATATTTAAGTTATTTTTCACAAATAAGTGGTACTAATTAAATCTATGCCAATATTTTTAACAATATAAATCCAAATATTTTAAAATTGGCTAAAAAACAAAAACATTCTTTATCCAAGTGATGGATAGGCAATTCAACCATTCGAATCACCTATGAAGTCATATTTAGGCCATCAAATTTTCAAAATATAAATAAATATATAAAATTACAAAAATGTAGAAAAAATTAGACACATTTAAGATACTTTTATTAACTAAATTAAAAAATAAGTGTAATAAAAATAATTATTTTTATTGATAATAAAAATGAAATACATACTTTAAAACTAACAAAAAATGAAATTATTTTACTACTTGGCAAAGATCAGTAGTTCAACTTTCAGGTCAAATGTATTAATATTTAATGTCATAAATAAACAATAAAAAATAATGAAATATAAAAAGGCAAAATGACCTTGAAGCCCCCCCCCTCAAGAAAAGAAAACCCCTCACACCTGTATCAAGAAAACTCAGCCACAAAAGCCCAATGGAAAAATCAAAATACCACCGCAACCTCCTTGTATTCGGCAAACGTGATATACGTCAGCCATCTCCCAATTTATTTACGAAAATACTCATACCGCTAAATCCTCCATGCTCTCAAGCTAGCATTCGTTAAATGTTATAACAAAAGTGCCCTATTAATAGTCGGTGTTTTTCAATGCCACTTACATCTCCTCAACATCAGTCCTGGAGGTCGTCTGAGGGTGAGAAACAGAGCAGTATTTTGAACAGAACCTTTGAGAGGAGAGCTTGTGAACGAGAATGGAGGGAGTACTTTTATCAGTGATTCCAAATAGAGATTAGAGATCCTAAAGTTGGACACTAGCATGACGAATTCCCTTTGCCACATCATGCTTGCAGAGATCCTAACCATTGCAATCGACTTCATCGAAATTGAGGTCAACTCCTTTGTTCTCAACGACGAGTTCATCACTCACCACCTTGGCCTCATCCTCGACGGCCAGTGTGAGTATTGCTTTGTCAAGTTCCACCTCAAAGTCCGCTACCACTCCGACCATACCCTCGACGTTATCAGCTGCGACCTCAAAATCTCCAACCCTTCCGTCGTCCTTACCAATGCCGCCCAATATGCAGAGTCTGGTGGTTACAATGCTTTTGAGCAGAGGGGTATACTTGTGGTGAAATTGCGTCATGGACAAGAGCTGAGAGTGAGATGAGAGTGATAGTTGGGAAGGGGATAACAAAAGACCATGCAAAGTGGTCGCTTGCACCCAATGTGACTTCCGTGTATGAACCAAATATGTATATTAGTGATGATTTGATGGGATCACTAACACTTTAACAGAAAAGAGATTGGATTGAGAGTATCCCAACAAGGCTTTTGACATTGATCCCAATACTCATAAGGTTGTAAAGGTTGACCCTGAGGCATACACTTACGATGATGAGGTGATAACGAAAGCAAAGCACAATGGGGAAGGCAGGACTTGTTGAGATATATGCTACAGAAGATAGTTTCATTTTCATTGTTGAGTCTATTGGCGCCATTAAAGCCTTACAGATGGTGATCAATGCAATAGAAGTGCTTAAACAAAAATTAGATGCAATCAAGTTGTTAGAGGAAACTGAAGACACTAATGATCAGTTGGTGAATTGGGTGCACACATGCTTGGAGGATGATTGGTTTGATCACTTAAGGAAACATTAAATATAGAATAGACTTGTTCATGGGTTAGGTAGCCCAATGGGCCAGCCTGGCCTAGCCAGTTCTAAGTCGGGCTTAGACATGATTTAGGCCTAAGGGTTCAGGCCTAGCCAGTTCCAAGCCCAGGCTTGACTTGATAATATATATTATATATTAAAAAACATATTTTATTTAATATATATATATACACACACACAATATAGAAATCCCATATGATAGATGTCGTAGTTTGTGTAAGCATCTAGAATTGCTAAACAGGGTTGGGCTGGTCAAAATTGTGATTTTATAATTTTGACCATTAAATACTGCTATGAGGGTTTCAACAATTAGATGGGAACCTTCTTATTTGAATGAATGTGTTTAATGGATAGCGTTGTTTGTTTGGGCACCTAAAACCTATAGACAAGGTTAGGCCAATAAAAAAAGGTGATTTCATTAGTTTCGACTTATTAATGATTGTTGTTGTGGGGGTTACAGTGGTCAAATGGGCACCATCTTTTATGTGTAGATGCATAAATCTATATAAGGCGGAGTATGTATTAGCATATGGACATGCCAAATAGGCTCGAGGTGGCCAAAACTATGATTTTAAAGTTTCAATTGTTAAGGAATGTTATGGGTGTTATGGTTCCAAATGGACTTTGTCTTTTACCTATAGGCGAAATGAATCACTTGTGAATTAGGGCCCACTTGTGAAACGCTCTGGTGCCAATCATCACCAAAGACATCAACTTTTCTTCTATATCTAATGTTGCCTTAAGTGATCAAACCAATCATCCTCCACGCATGTGTGCACCCAATCTACCAAATTGATCATTTTCAACCCACAATTGACTCGAACGGTCAAACCGTTTGAACCTTTACCCAACCAAGATTTCGGGTCTAGTTCAATCAAGAACCGTCAGATGGACAAAAACCGTTGACTTGGTCAATAATCGTTTGACCGTTGACCTGTCCGACTCGGTCACCGGGTTGCAGGTTGCACACTCAATGTATGCAAACTTTCGGAGGCCATAACTTTACACTTTGATGTCTGATTGTGGTGATTTTTTTTTTGGGGTAACTTTTTGAGATTTATGTGTTCTAATGAACCATAAGAACCACTATTTTCACAAAAAAAAACTTTTTTTAGCCTCAAATTACAGTTTTTAATATTTGTTTATTAAAACAATTTAAAGCGAAATTAAAAAAACATAAATTAAATATAAAAATATATATATAACATATCTAAAATATATTTACACATTATTGGTTGATAAAATATATATTTATACACACACTCGCACACACACACACACATATATATGTACATACATACATATAGAACCGATGACCCACCTTTAAAACATTAGATTTAACAGTGAAAGTGAAACTTTTTTTCTTTACCATATATCTCAAATGTCCTGGCTTCCCCATTGCTTCTTCTTTCATTATCACCTCATCATGGCCAGTGTATGCCTCTGTAGGGTCAACCAGTACAACCTGATGAGTATTGGGATCAATGTAAAAAACACTTGTTGGGCTGCTCTCGATCCAATCTCTTTTCCTATCCCCTTTCTTGCTATCACTCTCACCTCAGCTCTTGCCCACGACACAATTTCACGATAAGTATATCCCTCTGCTCAAAAGCATTGTAACCATCGAATTCTACATACTGGGCGACATCAACAAGGACGATGCAAGGGTCGGAGGTTTTGAGGTTGTAGCTGGTAACATCAAGGGTATGGTCGGAGTGACAGTGGACTTTGAGGTGGAACTTGACAAAGCAATACTCGCACTGTCCGTTGGGGATGAGGCCAAGGTGGTGAATGATGAACTCATCGTTGAAAATAAGGGAGTTGACCTCGATTTTGACAAGGTCGATTGCAATGGTCGGTACCTCTGCAAGCATGATGCGACCAAGGGTGTTCGCCATGCTTGTGTCTGTTTCTTGGAGCTCGAATTTGAGGTAGCGTCCATCTCTCTAATCTTTATTTGGGAATCGTTGGTAAGATACTCCCTCCACTCTCGTTTGCAAACTCTTTCTCTAAAAGGTTATGTTCAAAATTTTGCTCTGACTCTCCTGAGTTGAACAACTGAAGAGATATAGATGTTCAAAAACACTAACTATTAATGGGGTTACTTTTGTCATCAAAACATTCGATGAATGGATGTGGATTATGTCTTGAGAACAGGGAGGATTTAGCCATGGTTTCATTATTTAATTTTTACATAGTCTGTATTCATATCACCTATCTTTGGGTATTTTCATCAAAGAATTGGGAGATGGCTAATGTATATCACGTCTGCCGAATGGAGGGGGCTTGCGGTGGTATTTTGATTTTTCCATTGGACTTTAGTGGCTGGGTTTTCTTGATACAGGTGTTGGGGGGTTTTATTTTTTTGAGGGGGGTATCAAGGTCATTTCCCATATAAAAATGCAAAAATGAAAAAAATACATAAATGTTGCAAAATATCATTCAGGCACATGTATAATATGTGATAGCACCATTTTCCCATAAAGCAACCTATGTGGTAGCATCCTTTCCAAACAAAAAATAAACACTTACAATTCACACACGCCCAACACCATTTTCATAAGAAAACGGTGCGGTGTTCCCAGCACCAATGCCAAGCACCTACTAGAGTGATTTGCACCTATGAATGCCATAAGGAATAGACGAAGTTGTTTTAGTGTCTACTGTTTCGAAACAAAAAATAACCACTTACAACTCACACATGCCTAGCACTATTTTTATGAGAAAACAGTGCAGTGTTCCCAACACCGATGCCAAACACCTAGGGGTGAGCATTATTTGGTTAAAATCGAAATCCCGAACCGAAAATTTTTGTTTTGTTTTTTTTTTTCCGGTTTTTTTTTTTTTTCGATTGTCGGGTAATTCGGTTTTTAAAGTTAGAAATTTGGTTAATCGAAAAAATTGAATTAACTGAAATTCATTATATAATATGTAATATATAATATACAATATATAACATTTAATATATAATATGCTATATATTTATATACTAATAAATTATATATAATGTATTATAATGTAATTCAATTTCATAATATATATTAATTAAATTTGGGTTTTAATTGAAATAATAAAAAACCGAATAAAAATTTTTGGTTTCGGCTATTTCGGTTTTCTTGTAATTCAATTTCGATTAGGTTTTAATTTTTTTTTTATTTCAATTTTTAAAATTTTGATTTATTCGATTCAATTTTTAATTAAATAAACTGAATGCTCACCCCTACAAACACCTACTAGAGTGATTTGCACCTATGAATGCCATAAGGAATAGACGAAGTTGTTTTAGTATCTACTGCAATTCTGGCAGCTCCATTATGGATGGCACAGGAGCGGAGGACAAAACGGACACAGCCAACAATGACAGAAGCCTCGACGGTTTTATTGAATTATGACGTGCATACATAGACTATGGAAAAGCTTTTGGGTTTTCCCATCCCAAGGCCCAAGGACGAACATCTTAACTGGGTTAGCCCAACTATTGGGAGAGAGAGAGGTCAAGTGTCAAAGAAAGAAGACAATGAACAACACTTCTCCCAAGAGATCTTAGTATGAGAAATTTGACAATAGATATTTATACGGGGTAGTATGAGAAATTTAACAAAATTGTAAAAGATAGATCACTAATAGGGGGTTTTCTGGAGATTTTGAAAATCAATGGTAACTTCAAGAGAAATGCAAAAAAATCATGATGAGTTTGAAATAATATCCCTTTATTTAATATATTTATGAATCCACACATGTCAACACTAGAGTCAATCATGTATGACCTAAGGAAGGCATTGGCTTATATTCTTGAGCAATGCGGGATTTGTAAATAGTTAATGGATTGGTTGTACTAACCATTTAATGTTGTTTAAAGTCTTGTATTGCTCTATCCCTTTCTCTCATTTAGGGGCATTATGGTCTGATATCCTGTTTCTAGTTTATTGCATTGCTCCTCGTTTTGTTCATGTTAAGAGAGACTGTAATGTTTTGGCCCATAAATTAGCCGTGTCCTTAACCGGGGGTGTAGGCATTTTCTCGTCCCCTATTTTTGGAAGTTTTTTAATGAGATCCTCTTAACTATCAAAAAGAAAAAAAGTATGCAAAGGGTAATTTTGGGATTTTAAAAGTTTTAGGTGCACATGACACTAGGTACTCCAAAATATCAGCACAATACTACTGGTTGGACTTAAGTTTTGATTTTTGAAAATAGAAGGCACAAGTGAAAGTTGAGCCCCTAAAGTGTCACTACCCCCAAAATATAGGGTACATCCATGTAATTTTTCCCTTTTTCCCGTGGAAGAAACACATAGCTTAAAACCGACTTAGGGACCCATTGATGATCATGGGCTAGCTTGAGACTAGCCTGACCCGAATTCCAGGCCTAAAACATAAGCACGGGTTGAGGCTGTGTATCAATTGTTTTAACCACACAAGCCCTTTTATTAGTTTTTTTTTACTCCAAAAATTAGCCAAAGGAGTCAGTCCTAGGCCTACTCACCGCTTGAAATTAGTCGAAACCCCAAAAGCCCCTTATATAGAGTATCGATGACCTGTCAATACATTGCTAATTTTTGATCCTTGGTCTAAGGTTTGTTGGTGTGAAGGACATTCAAGGTGTGATGCAATGTAGTATAAACACACCTTTGAAAAGGTGGAAATCATTTACCAAAGCATTTTAAAAAATGACAACTAAATTGTAAAAAATTAAGGGAAAATTCCTGATTAATACCTGTACTTTGGGTCTAGTGCCACTTTGGTCCCTGAACCATAAAATAAGACAATTCAGTACTCAAACTTTTAAAACGTGCCAATCCAATATCTGCTTTTAACCAACCCGTTAACCAGCTGTTAAGTGGCACTTGAGAAGACAACAAATGCCATTCAAGTATCTAATTTTCTTTAACAACCATTTAAAGAAAAATGAACAGTTCAAATCTTTGCCTCTTCTATTCAAGAAAGTTGGGGTCCCCAGAACGCCCACTGAAACTTGACCCCAAGGATTTGGGACTGTTCATTTTTTGCCAACATTTGAATAGTTGATAAAGAGAATTAGATGACACTCGAAGGACATTTGCATCTTTTCAAATACCACTTAACAGTTGGTTAACAGATTGGTTAACGGCAGGTACTGGATTGACACATTTTGAAAGTTTGGGTACTAAATTGTTATGTTTTAAAATCTGGGGGACCAAAGTGGCACTAGACCCAAAGTAAATGGTACTAATCGGGAATTTTCCCAAAGATTAAAGACTAAAGACTAAAGACTAAAGACTAAAGCTTTGATGGAATAAAAGATTTTAGGAAAAGTAATCTCAAAGAAACCCAATAAAAAGAAAAAAAGTAGAAGAGTAGTGAACTAAAGCAACCAATACATGTATCCTGCCCGGCTGCCCCTGCGGTCTAGGCTTTCCTGTGATAAAGGGTCTCTTGGTGCACACATGGGGACAATCTATATGGGACTCGTATTTCTGTCTCTGGACCAAACTTCAACATGGTTATTATTAATCTTCAAATCTCCACCCATAGACAGATAGGCTTCTTAGGTTTGTGACCAGTTTAAGAGTATCGACTAGGCCAAAAAAGACTAAGGCTTCCCAAGTGTCATAATGGCTGTGCATGAGTGCATCTATTACCTTACTTAATAGGTTAATGAATTTCCACATAAATGATTCTGTGGTAAAAACCACAGGTTCAAAGTATCAAATCTTAAACTACAGTCGGTATCCTAATTGATTTCTTAGTGGCCATGGTTGGAGAATGTGCCCTAAAAATTCAAATGCATCTCCTAGAAGATTCATGCATTGGTGCCCAAAACAGAGTTCAGATTGATGAAACTCAACAGAAAATTAAAGTTACTATGCTGAATTTTTTTTTGGTCCCACTTTTTTTTTTACCCAGTTCTGTTATGCAATGGAAATCCAGATCCGAAACACAAAGACAGCAGAATAGAAGTTGGAAAAGAACTTAAAACAAACAATGTCATGTAATCTTATAACTCAAAACAAGGTTACAAGGTTTTATGCAAAAAAAGTGTATAACAGAATACACTCTTGTAAGATGAACCAAGAAAGAAGTACAATTATAATAACAGAGATTCAAGGGGAGTATGAAACCCAATGATAGCCTTCTTATTCCTGATGAAGCCAATGATAATATCAAATGGTGAATCAAATTGCAGTCACAGGGCAAGCAACTCTTCTCACACAAACTCCATAATATGCACAAGAACAATAACAGGGTCGTGAGTTTTTATGGGAAAGAACAGCATATAGAAGAAACATTCTTCCTTCACTATAGACTCCCTTTGAACTACAAATTTGATTAATCAACAACCATGATTTGAACCAAAAAGATCACCCATCACGGTCAAAATGGGAAAAGAATGTCTGAGGGAAAATGGGAACAAATTGACATATCTATCAGAATTGTAAGAGCAAGGAAGAAAAGGACTAGTAGCAACATCTAACAAATTTCTCTACTGCTGAGAGAAAATTCATGCTTTCAATTTCTCATTAACATATTCTAACTGCTAATGCTCAGAAGGTAGATGCACCAATTATTAACATCAGATACTGCAAGGCAAAACAATAATTGAGAAGCCCAAGCAAAGAAACTATGGTGAGACATGCCTACCCTGATGATTCCTATAGAAACAACATCAACTCAATTCCAAACTCATAATCTAGTGAACATGCAAGAGCAGAGCTCAGTTAAAAGCACCGATGCTAGCCGTATTTTGTCTGGAAAGTTTTGTCCACTCGGTATGGTATGATCCTGGACGATCAATACGTTCATAAGTATGAGCCCCAAACAAGTCCCTTTGTGCCTGGACAAGGTTCGCAGGCAGCCTTGCCCGCCTGTATGTGTCAAAGTAGGAAAGACTGGCAGACATCCCTGGAGTGCTAATCCCTGCTGCAATTGCCAAACCTACAACCCTCCTCCAAGCTGCCTGCCTCTGCACTATCTCTCTCGCAAACTCAGGATCAACGAGCAAATTTGCCAAATGAGGATTTCGCTGGTATGCTTTCTTGATCCTGTCCAAGAACACAGCCCTTATAATGCACCCACCTTTCCAAATCCTTGCTAATTCACCCAAGTTCAGATTCCAGCCCTTCTCGACACTCTTTGCTCTCAACAAATTCATCCCTTGTGCATAGCTACAAATCTTCGAAGCATACAATGCCTGCCTCACATCATCAATCAACCTCTTCTTATCGATTCCATTCCTCACTGTTCCTGCATCCTCCCGCATGCCAGCCTCCTTCAAAACCTCGGAGGCAGCTTCTCTCTCTTCCTTCAACCCACTCAAGTATCTGCAGTCCAATGAGGCAGCGATTGTGGGCGCAGCAACCATCAACTCTGCTGCCTGCTGAACCGTCCATTTCCCAGTTCCCTTCATCCCCGTTTTATCCAAAATCTTATCCACCAACTGACCTTCTCCGCATTCGTCCTTGACCTTGAATATATCGGCGGTTATCTCAATCAAGAAACTCTCGAGCTCCCCCTTGTTCCAGTCAGAAAAAATATTCGCCAATTCAGCATTGGACAACCCGCCGACAACTTTCAAAACATCATACGCTTCTGATATCAGCTGCATATCACCGTACTCGATACCATTATGAACCATCTTGACGAAATTCCCGGATCCACCTTCACCTATGTACGTCACACAGTGGCCATCTTCAACCTGTGCGGCGACCTTCTTAACGATGTCCTCGATGTTGGAGTAGGCTTGGTATGAACCTCCGGGCATGAGGGAAGGACCATGACGGGCGCCCTCTTCGCCGCCCGAAACGCCCATACCCAGATAGAGAATACCTTTATCGGCGACTTCGCGCATTCGGCGCTCAGTATTCTCGTACCACTCGTTGCCACCGTCAATGATGCAGTCGCCGGGATCCATGAATTGGGAGAGAGCTCCGATGGTCTGATCGACAGGGGATCCGGCCTTGACGAGGATAATGACCGACCGGGGGCGTTGAAGTGAGAGGACGAAGTCACGAGGCGAGTAGTGACCAGTGAGGGGGAGGTTACCTTCTTCCTTGGCTCTCTCCAGGGTTTCGTCGACTTTGGAGGTGGTTCGGTTGTAGACAGAGATGGGGAAGCCTTTCTCAGCGATGTTGAGGGCAAGGTTTTGGCCCATCACAGCTAGGCCTGCAAGGCCGATGCGTGAGAGAGCAGTTGAAGCTTCCATGATTGACGAATGAACCGAAAGAAAGTAATTTTGGGTTAGGGTTTCAAGGGATGGGGCAGAGAGACGCAGAGCAAGAGAAGGAAGGTTAGACTGGAATGGCAAGGGGTGGGGGGAGAGTTGGAAGGTTTTAGATTTCTTGTTTTCTAATTTAAAATGGTTTTGACGGACTCGTCGAGGGACCCAAAGGGCAGGACGACTCTATACGAAAGGGGTCGTTGGCGCCTGGTGGCGTTAATGCCGTTGCTGTGGTGGCGGAGCATGAATCTGCTGCATCATACATCCAATGTAAAGAGATTGATGAAAGTGTGGGAGAACGGTCACAATCACCATTTATGGATGGAAGAGATTGATGAAAGTGTCCCACAAACGTGAAATTCAATGAAACTGGTTGTACCGTATAATCTTGTAACTATTAACGAAATTGCGGCGTTCGGGTAACTGAGAAGGCAATTGGCTACTTGGCTGACCCTAGAGACCGAAATTCGTTGGGTGCATGATTTGACCGTTGGATGGTCATGTTTGTTCGCTTCTCGCTCGCTAATTTGTTTTGATAGATGCAGTGATGCACTGTGTTTCCGTTGAAGCCACGGCCAAGAAAGATAAAAAGAAATTGATGATGTTTCGTGGGTCGGGTCTGTCCGGGTTAGTTTAAACCCGCTCCCGAATATAAGAAAAACACTCACACCCAAAATCCAATTTGCCATCCCACTTCGCCGCTGGTTAGGTTGAAAGTTTTTAGGGATTAATCAGACGTCACATCATAGCCAAAGGTTCAAAATAACTTAGAGATCGGAATGACCTATTCCCCTACTTGTTTGGTTCAAACAGGAATCGGAGTCAGATTCAGATTTATGCTATTTGGTTCATTAAGAGGCTGGAATCGGAATCATTTCCAATTTTGCCCCTAATAAAAATAAAAAAAATGCATGAAAATACTAGAAATCTTACAGAAATTACAGAAAATTGCAAAAATTTTACAGAAAAATACAGAAATTTCAAGAAAATGTAAAATTACAACAAATTTTCAGAAAATTTAGAAAAATGCATGAAGATACATGGAATTTTGCAGAAATTTCAGAATTTTACAAAAAAAAATAGAAAAATAAGGAAAATTTGCAGAAAATGCAGAAAAATACAAAAAATTACAGGAAAATAAAGAAATTACAACAAATTTGCAGAAAACCGAATTGTTTCTTCACGGTCTAGACTCTTGGTCTGCAAAGACTAGGATACTACAATTTGTGTGTTCTTTGGGGTGGAACATTAAAGAGATGTGACAATTTACCACTACAATGAGTAAAAATTTACACAGATACCCAAGTGTATTCTCTTCAAGAAGCTAATATCATGCTTGGGCGGCTGTCAACACTGCAAGCCATGATGCCCTATAATCTCGTGAGATTCTAAAGCAGTCACAGACCTTCCCATCACTTCTCTTCTTGTACTCAAACAACAGATTTGAGTGGTCCGATGCTGTACGCTTTATGAATTCAAAGTCATGGCCCTTGTAATAACTCCATCTGGTCTGTATTGTGGTGAAATCTGCAAGGCTAGTATCTCCTCCCCCAGCAACTACATGGATGGTTCCATTCAAGGGACCCTGATAGTATGACTTTCTTTATTGGTACAAACATTCTGTAACAGAAGCATGACACCCATTGTTAGTTTATGAGGTGAAGAATATGGCATGTTTGCTACCATTTGAGACATTCCAATTTAATATAGAAGAGGTTGAATGCTCATTTCTACAAGATATGATAATCTACACTAATAACAAGTCAATTAATAGAAAGTTAACCATTATATGTAAAAGGTATTGCAGATCGGATGTTGGTCAACATCCTTGAGAGGAAAATGGTAACAACAATCCTTCCCTAAAATACCCTGGAAATTCCAATTCCGGAACATGGGTTTGACACAAGGACTAGAAAGAGTTAACATAGAAACTTTTAAAGCTTATAATGTTAGTAAGTCTGAAATTTGTGTAGAAGAAAAGAATCAGGGAACATGTCCTTTCATAGTTGTCAACATGGCCATAGATGGCTATATTAACCTTGTACTTATGCCAAGTTTCTGGAGGCTTTCTCTCCCCATTGGTTCCTTAAAGATCCTTCTTCAGCATAAAAACTATGTGAAGAATAACCCAAGTACTCGAAGGGAAAGGAAGATCAACCATGGTTGCTTCTGTCTGTCAGCAGAAGCTAGGCAATTCTCAATAAACTTGTATTGCTATGTTCCTTCTCTCCAATCATGTTCAGTGTCAGCTATGCAGAAGTGGAACATGCCATAGTCTGTGGAGTACCTGGAAATAGAAGAATATATGAATGGTATTGGAAACGAAATCAAAAGTAAAAGTTGAAGTATCCTACATGATACAACACCCTTGTACAGGTACCCGGGCGTCATTCCAATGCAGCTATGGTTAAATAATCATGAATCAGACCTTAAAGCCCAAATCACTTCTTATAGGAAAAGACTTGCACTAAAAGACTAATGATATCAGAAAAATCAGATAAGTACATTCCTTTCGTTCATTGTCCATGACCAATAATAGTGGTTAATTTTCTTTAGTTCTTAGTCATAGGGATACGTATCATACTTTAGTGTTCCACTCATCCTCCCTAACACCTACTGGGGCAACTCCTAGATCCCTACAAATATGCTACCAAACTGTTATATAAAAATTATACAAGTTATTGTTAGAACATTAACCTAACAAGCTTTTGAGACTATTTCTTGGAAGTTTGGCTAGAACACAGACATAATGATAACACACACAAATGTATATGCAAAAGGAAAAAAACTACTTACACTGAATTGGGCTACAGGTCCTTCAGATAACTTGTGTGTACGAAGCCAGGATCATGCCACCCCACTGTCCTTATTAGTGCACCTGTATTTATCAAAATGTATTATATATAATAAAAAATCAAGTTCTCTGAATATGTATGCTTTCTAGAAAGAGAGAACATAAAATAGCCATTGTGAGCTGAAGATCTAGACTGCCTAAACTCAGCCATTGTCATATGATAGATGGTTTGGGTAGGCAAGGTAAGGTTGATGATGCTTACAGATTGTTTAAGAGAATGGTTACTGGCTTCTGGAGGAAATGAAGACAAAGAGTTACCAACCCACAATGGTTACATATGGATGTCATTCAATGGGCTTTCCAAAATTAACAGGCTTGATGAAGCATACATGCTCTTTGAAGAAGTGGAATCAAGAGTAGGCATATATGTAGTAGTAATGTATAGGAGTCTTAGTGATGGTTTTGGAAAAGTTGGTAGAATAGATGAGGCATATCTTATCATGGAAGCATTGATCCACAAAGGATTGACACCGAATGTGTACACATGGAACTGCCCTCTTGATGCAATAGTGAAGACAGAGGAAATTAAAGAAGCCCTTGTCTGCTTTCAGTCCATGAAAGACCTTAAATGCACCCCAAATGCCATCACTTACAACATTATCATAAATGTGTACATAGAAAGCCAAACCTCTGTTGCTTTTTAACTGATATGTCATCTGTGTCGAATACAATTACAGATATTTTGAATAATTTTAACTTTCGGTGTGTCAAATACACATCTAAGAACAAGCTTTTGCTTTTTAGGTACTTGTGGATGTAAAGAGAAATTTGATGAAAGAAGAAAAATGTAGCTACTGTAGTTCTTTTTTTTTGCAAGTTACAAATTGTCTTTTAAAAGAACTTTAGGTGTTTAGGAATGAATAGGGAGTTCTATTTTTTTCTGTTTTAGTTTATTTATTTCTGTTTTCTATTTTATCTAAGCTACTGTAGTTCTTTTTTTTGCAAGTTACAAATTGTCTTTTAAAAGAACTTTAGGTGTTTAGGAATGAATAGGGAGTTCTATTTTTTTCTGTTTTAGTTTATTTGTTTCTGTTTTCTATTTTATCTAAATACCTTAGGTATATTATGAATAATTTTAACTTGTTTGCAGTCAGTTATTGGGCTGACTGCTAGATATATCTTAGAATTAGAATTGGGCTTGTCTTGAATCAATCCATATATCTAAATACCTTACAATTAAAAATTATTTGCAGCTCAATATGTAAGATTATTGAGATAGCTTGTCTTGAATTTCAAGAAATAGAAGGGTAAGATAATGAAAAATTCTGCTGGTCAGCAGGACATTGGATTGAAACTCATCCCATGAAAAGAAAAAAAGAAAAGAGAAATGTGTGGACTCATTTGAGCCGCATCTCAGCTGCTACTGTTAAAATATGAATAAACATGATACCAAACATATTAGCCAATCCAGATAGAAATCAGGATAAAGTGGTTTCTTGCTTGTAACTTTTAAGGGTCCGTTTGGTCTGCAGCCGGATCGGAATCGGAATCAGAATCCTCTGGAATCAGAATCGGAATGGTCCATTCCTGAAATCTGTTTGGGTCAGTCAGGAATCGGAATTGGATTCCGATTCCTACTGTTTGGTTCAACTAGAAGCTGGAAACGGAATCAGCCAAAGTTTCCAATTCTGCCCCTGTTAAAAGAACCTCAAAAACATCCTCAAAAACTGGTTTTCCACAGTTTGGAGACACTGCTGAAGCTAATGCATCCATGTCTTCTGTAGTCAGAGTTGATCAGGGAGGTCTGTCCGAGGAGCTTTCCTGTAAGAAACAATTTATGCACTCATATTCTAGTTGTCCAATGCTGGACTAACTTGCCTGAGCCTACCGGTATGGATTTCATTATGTAAAGGTGTTATCTATTTTCCTCATATTTAAAAGCTTCCATCCTTATTTTTTGTTTGTAATTTTTTATGAATTGATCAAAGACAAGAATGCCAATCTTCAAAAGGAGGTAAACTGGTAAAGAGCCACCTAACATATATCTTGTTTCCATAAATATGTTGTGAAGAACAAAAAGTATGTTGTTGAATTTTGAAGAATGTTACCCTAGACAACTCTGCTAACTGTGTGTCCTCAATCTTGAAGGTGAATAAGCTTGGCACTGGGTCTACAATTGAATGACCAAGCTGAAAGGCAAGAATGTAACCCTGTGACAATAATAAAATCCACAATTTGATCCTATCAATTTGCAGCACTAAAACGGTAAAACCAAGTTCTGAAATTATCAGAAGTCACGTACAAAAACTACAAAGAGCACTTTCAGTCTTATCAATAACAAAAATACATTTTTGCAAGCAAAAAAAAGAAAAAAAAATACAAAGATACATGATATTTGCATTGCAAGTTCTTATAACTGATACTTAACAAAAGGCCGCTCCAAATTACTGGTTCTATAACTCCTTGAATGAAAAGAAAAAACACTGATAACTGTGATGTTTTTATTGTTCACAAGTTTTATTGGATGATCTTTTCTTCTTTTCCAATTCATAGAATGGTAACTCAGCTTAATAAAGCCTTATTCCAACCATACAGAGTTGTCTTCCCAAATCCCGTTTTGCCATTCCATTTTCTAAATGGCCATATCAACTATTAGATTATGAACCTTAGATCAGCCTATGTTTTTTATTCTCCTACCCATTCTTCTAATCCTTTCATCTTGGGCACCTACTATTCAGCCACATCCCACATCCACCACATCCCCAATCAAAACACAGAAGATACAGTATAAAAAAAATGCCAATGCTAGCAGTAATGCTTTATGCATTACCTTTGATTTATGCACTCTTCAACATGGACAGCTTGACCTAGAAAAATACACATAAATGAGTGAAACTTTGAGCCTGTACTCCGTTTCCCAGAAGCCCAGAATAAAGAAATAAATCCATATTTTAGGCAAAATCTTGAAGAAGAGCGAGAAAAGAGAAAAGAAAAGGAATCACTTCCACCATTAAAGCACCTATCTATTACTAAAAAACACAGTAACGGACAGAAAAGCAAGGCATGTTCTGCTGCAGTTTCTGAAGGCCGCTAAACAAAACCAAAACCCCAAAAAACATCTTCACCAGTCAATCAATGTTTATGGAAATTTGAGCAGTGGGGTTCACTATTAAAAGTTTTCTAGGGGAAAACACTTTTGTCAAAGTGACAACCATGCTTTTGAAATTCCAGGCACTAGGAGGAAAGATGCAACTTACACGAGCATCAAAGCCAAAGCAATTGATTCCTTTCCAATTATCCAAGTCATAAGCAGTGAAGTGCTTGCAACAAGCTGAAGCTTGAAGACGATTGCCAAGTTTTCCTCCTTCAAATGAATCCCCCTGAACCCCTCTCACAAAAGAAACAACATACTTGCCAGAAACCAATGGGTCACCTGGCATCTCTTGCCCTCTCCCCCATCTGGGGTCCCTGAATATATTGATGTTCGGAGCCCAAAATGTCATTCCTTTGGCTTGCCCGGCATTGTATACAACTCGAGCTTCGGTACCAATAGCCTTCTAAGTAAAAGTAAATTTTGCCCTTTTCTCATGAGCAGAGTTGTTAGAGTGAATACTCGCTTACCTGTCCAATGCGATACCAGAGACGTTCATCAAACGATGCGGCAGTGAGGATGACCTGAGGAAAGATTGTAGCACGTTGAATGGTTCCGTTGAATCGGATGCCAGGTCCGGCATCGGCAACGCCGTGCAACGATTCCGACCACCATTGATAGTTGGGAATACCAAGTCTGGGAATCGCTGGCGCATTGTTAACGAGTTGAGAGATCTTCTCGTCTAAAGTAAGACGAGAGACGAGGTCTTTAACTCTTTGGCGGATGGGTAGAGATGTTTTGCAGAAGGGGAGGGAGCTGGTTGAAGGGTTTGCAGAAGGGGAGAGATAAAAGGAGAGAGATCCATCATGACCTGGCCAACCGTCGAACTGTAGAAGGTTTGAAGGAGGGAGTGTCGAGAGAGAGGAGAAAGAGGGAATCGGGGGTTTGGGAGGTTTTTCCGTCATTTTCCTTTTTATTGATTTAACCAGCTGGAATGGGAATCCGATTCCTGGGGGGTGGGTCGGGATTCGGGAATGGCCAATGAGGGATTGCCATTCCGCTTGGAATGGGAATCGGATTCCAATTCCGTCCAACCAAACATCTGGAATTGGAATGACCCATTCTAATTCCGATTCCGGACTCTTATTCCTGTGAACCAAACAGACCCTAAAATCCCTCAATTAATTGTCATTATTCATACTTAATCACACTGCTATTTAATTTTAAATTAGATTAGAATGTTATTGTACTCTGATGAACTTGATAGAGATCTTTCAAACTTATTAGCTACAAAGATAGAGCTGAATCAGGTAAACCATAGAATAAACGTAGAAAAATTCAAACACCAAACAGAACTAATGACCAAAATAACTACTCACATAAGGATGCATTCCAAACTGAAATTGGGAAAAAAATTAAAACACATTTAATATTTGAAAGAAGAGCTACTAAATTTAACATGCATTTCAAGGTCAACTATAAACAACCAAATTTAACATGCATTTCAGACCATCTATTAAAGATTTATATAACAAATACTTTGCTAGAGAGGAAAATTGAGGAAAACATGCCTTGCTGTGGTTTGGTCTGGTTGGCAGCAGAAAAAGTAGGGAGGAATGAAAAAAATAAAGTGAAAGAAAGAGAGGAGAGGAAGAAGAATAGGAAAGAGGAGAAAAAAAATCGATGGTGATGGTGATTTACCTCATCGTCACCGTTCTCGGAGTATTGGGGGGGGGGGATGGCCATTGATCGCCATTCCGTCTGAAATGGGAATCGGTCCAACCAAACACCTGGAATCGGAATAGACCATTCTGTTTCCGATTTCCGATTCCAACCAAAAGGACTCTTAGAAGAAGAACAAGAAGAATGATATAGAAATGGCGCTTTATTTCATTGATTAGGGGTATTTTTGTCAGTAAAAGCCTCTCTAATGTCAAAAGGGAAATTCGGAATTGAAAAAAGAATGTGACGTTAGCATTTTCAGTTGAGTTGTAAGGTGAACATTGTGTCAGAAAGTTCAGAGTAGGATGGTGCCATTACCATAAAGTAGGGTAAAGTTCAACAACTCAGGATAGTGCTATTAGCAATATACAAGGTTTAGCAACTGTCAAAAACTTGAGGGGAGGTTTTTACCAAGTTGATTTTTTCGTAGATAAAACAGCAATTTACCAAGCTGATTGATAATGGAGTTTCGAAGCAAGAGAAACTGGGCAGGGAGTCAGCATTCTACAGAGGGTGAGAGAAGGGCTACGGGAGTCAGCATTCTACAGAGGGTGAGAGAAGGGCTACTCCCTGTGGCTTGGTCCATTTGAGTAGCCAAAAAAAGAAGGGTATCCAAATAATAGCAAGGGACAGTCATTCGAACATCCTCGAGTTAAAATCATCCCCCACAACACTGTCCCCCATAATGTCCCATAGCACATTCTTGCGGTATTTTGGAAACATTTCTTGATGATAATATCAAGAATGATGATGCCATCATCGAAGATGCTGCCAATATATGACAGGAATGTGCTGTGGGACGTTGTGGGGGGCTGATTCGGTCTCAAATTCTTCGTCTTTCTCGATGCAACTTCCACAAAAGTAGCTAGCAGACACAACCATCTTCCCTTGGATTCACATCAGTGTCCTATAAGGGGCATCCTACAGCACATCCCAACCATGTATTGAAAACATATCGCATAACAAGTACAGAAGATTATGGGACATCATTGAGAGAGATTTTCAATACATGATTGAAATGTGCTGTGAGCCGTTGATGTGAACTCTCTTCCTGCGAGCCCTTCATCGATAGTTTCACACCGGTCACAGATCCAATGCATGGGCATGAGTTACGCTTGGCTTCGGGACCACCCATATATACTTCAACATATTTTCATAGATTCTTCACTAAACAGTTGATTAAACTTCAAAAGAATACCGTCGGGGGCACTTCCTAAGAAAAGTAAATAGTTAGGGCCCTAGGGTGTGCAACTTAGGACAGGGTCTCGGCAAAAATGACAGGTTAGGTTTAGGATTGAAATCCACTTAACTTCAGGTTGGATTAGAGTTGATGCATTATCCACCATGATACAACTTAACCCAGCATGTATCCAGTAATATGTATGTATACATTCATGCATTTACTCCTCATGAACCCTAATGAAGTGAACCACTGTAGAAAACACTCCTTTGTCCCTTCCAAATACAATGCCAATGAAATCTTCCACTGTATACGTTTGATCACTCCAGCCATGCAGAATAATGCACTTCCACACCAACAAAAATCACTGATTATAAGCTCTCAGCCACATTTGAAGCCTCTTCTAAAATTCTAAGTTACTCTTTTTTTGGTCTCACAAGACGAATGTAATTAACTAAGGCTGCATTTGGAAATAATACAAATGGAGTGTAAATTTCGGTTCAGAATAAATTTGCACTTTGGTTCACTTTTGCCTGTGCTTGGCAATATTACATTTATGCATTGACAAACGATAGATCAATGCATATTTACATTGATAATAAGAGGTAAAAGTACATTTGTATTCAAGTGGGTTTTTGATGAAAAAAAAGCATATGCTTTATTGAAAATCATGTTTGCATCCATTACAGGTAATCTATTTGGTAAGAAGGTAAATTTGTTGGTGCAAAATTAGCCCAATTTTGCAATTTATATGAACCGTTTTACACTCTACATATTTGCATCATTTTCAAACACAGCCTAAAGAAAAATCTTGGGGTACAAGCTAGGCCAAGGGCTAAAGATACCCCCCAACATCACATTTGATATATACATCTTAGCTAGGATTGAGTCAAGATCTCCTGAAAGCAAAAACCCTGCATATTGCATCCAACCACACATTGGTAATATCTCTCATACATGTATGCTTTTTTGGTGTTTGATGATGCGCCCATATCCCAGATAGGGGTCATTGATTAGCACAACACCACACCCATAACTTCTCAATGTGCAGTTGGATGCCTGTGATTTTAGGGTGTGCACAGAGCTTTTGCTTGCAAAAGACCTCGTTGCTACGAGGAATTGGGATCTGCTCCTCACACACATATCCTACCATGCATTGGGAACATCTCCCGTACTTATAAGTTATTATTCACGGGAGATATTTCCAATGCACAGTGGAAGTGCCTGTCAGGCACCCATGTGTGAGGAGAAGATCCTATTCCAACTTTACATGGATAAAGCAAAATGTAAGTTGATGGTGTGGGAGTCCAGCTCGTCGATGATGTCTTGGGTATCTTGCCAAGCTGGCACCTTCTGAGAGGTTTGGTGCAAATTGCGTGGGCCTTAAAAACTTCCTCAGAAAGAAAACAGGGAATCCTTGACCTTGCTCAAAAGGAAGAGAAATGAAAAACAGGGTATCTTCATTCTTTCCGAGTCATCCTTGAAGTAAGGTTCAAAATATGGATTGGCTTGATACGCCAGTAGAGGCATACCGGGCTGTATCGGTAGTTTTATTTTATTTTTTTCAAATCTGATTCAAAAGAACCAGTTTAAGGCCCATCCACCTCCTGAACCGGTCAAAACCCCAATACACCCTCTGTAAAGGCATATCGGGGAAGCTCTCAATTCGATACATATCGATACTTTGAACCTTTTGTAGCAACTCGGGATGTCAAAAGAATGCAGAGTAAAGGGGCAAACAAAAAGAACTTCGTCAAGTTTAAAATCCTTAACCAAATCGACACAGAGGTCTAGGGGCAAGCAAATTAGTTGAAGCTTAAAATTATATGGTTGATTTTCAGCATCTTATTTTGTAGGAGGGATACGTCCAATTGATTCAATATTTTGTTCAGACTCCAGTAATACAGCAGTTACGTAACCAAAAATACATTTGCATTTTCTGGCATCTCCAGAACTTTGTGACATCAAAGAATTTTTGCAGAACACCCAATTGCACATTTTCATTCGATAGCAGCAACTCCTAAAAGGCTTTCGACTGCTGCTATTTCGAAACCTGGTAAAACGATCTTTCCTGGGCTTGACCAATTTTACAACTGGGCATCAGAAGGGTTCACAAAGTCACCTTGCTGCCTAATCTGAAAGCAGCAATCAAAAGTCAGAATGAAAATGGATAACTGATGAAATTATGGTGTTTATGCAAACAAGATTGGTGGTTATGAAACTGACCTACTTTATCAGGAACATCAAACAAAGAATTAGATAGTTTTATAAAACTTTTCATTTTTCAATGATAAGCAACAGTTAAAGAAGCTTTATTACTGAGAAATAAGCTGCCCATCCAGAAATATGGAAAATTATATGCAATAAAAAAATCATTAATCAATGTTGGCCCTAGATATCTGGGGCCTTGGCCATTATACCAAGCAATGTAACCTCTGGATGGTTACACACAGGAAAAAGAAATAACCCATAAAAAGATTCTTAAAAAATGTGTCCAAACTATGAAGAAAGGAAATATAGATAGTTTTTTCATCAGTCAGGACTCAGTACACAATAATTTCCCTGCCCCTTGTACAGCAGCAAAAGGCAGGTGCAGGCAGTTATGGTCTACTGAAGATTTACCAATCAATTTTGGAGATTATGTGAAGACTATAAATGTCATAAAAAATGAATGGTTTAGTATGCTATTTACAAGAAATATAAACAAACTAAAGGGCCTTATTGGCATTGCAGATTATAAGAGCAGAGATCTAGTGTTAAGAATAATTACCTCTATCATTCTGATGTGAATCATATTCCTTGTTCTCAGGGACATTTTGATCCATGAACTGCTTAATTGTTCTCCAATAATGGTCACCTCCAGCCAGCCATGTGTCCATATGCATACCAGTAGGAAATTCAACAAAGATGCACTGCTTGTTATGTGAAGCTGCTTTAGCATAAAGCATCTGCATGTGAGATGGGGGAACCATCTCATCGTGCAATCCTGAGAGTAATAGGATTGGCTGTCTGACCTGCAGTAAATAGGTTTAAATCAAACATGATATAGAACTTGGACATCTATAGATCAAAATATGGGCACAAAAGGGATAAAATAATCCACTCACAATTCAGAAGCCTTGCAGATACAATAAAAAGCAAGGGGTTTCAGATCTAAAGTTTCCAGTAACATCTATTCTTACCTGGCCAATAATATCAATAGTACTCCATGGAGACCGTACAAGGCAATTAAGAACCTTGAGGCCTTTAGAACCACTGCCACCAATGAACCACTTCAAGAAAGGTAGTAGAACTCCAGCCATATCCAGGATAGATGTGAATGTATTCTCCAGTATTAAAGCAGCAACCTTTAGCTCACAGATCACAAAACACAGATTAGAAACTTCAACAAAGTGCAAATAATGAATGATTATTTCTTTTTTGTTGTTTCATAAGATACCATATTTTGAATAGTCTCTGAAGTGATTACACAAATCAAGTTATAAATTCTGGAGAGAGGATGAAATAAAACTAAAGAGCTTCCTAACAAGAAAAGTTTAAACTGAATATCTTGAAAAATGCTATGAAAAAATCTACTTAATTTGGAGTAACAAAAAGTCAAAACTGACCCTACACCGTAGGGATATGGGTCTTGTTAAATTCAGATTTGCAGGACTGATAACAGCACCCTCGTAGCGGTTTATTTTCTAGTTCAGGAAACTATTACAAATTATTTTCTGCTCCCACTTTTCTGTGTCCTTATGCACATACATGTGCAAAGTTTTCTATCAGCTCCAACAATACCGAAGGTTGCTCAGTTTTAGAAATAGATATCATGTTATGCTCATCACCAACTTACCATCAACAATGGATCTTGCTAGTAATACAAAACTTTAACTATCAAAAAAAAAAAAGCAAGAAAGAGAAAAAAAAAGACAGAATGAAAAACAAAGATAAGATCTTTTGAGGATCTTTTCAATAGTTGATCTAAATTCTAATCAATGCTTTCAAATTCTTATAACTCACAACACAATTTGCAATGATAATTCATATCATGAATTCCAAAGGTTTGATGCAAATCTCATGAGTAAATCCTTTGCTGAAAATTCTATTTTATCAATATCTCTATTTTTCTTGATGGATCGATACAACAGAGGGCTCCTTTGCTGAAAATTCTTAAGATTCAATTCATAAATCGTATGGTTTTTCATGAGTTTTGAATCAATTGACGGGGACTTAGTTCTGTATTTCTTCATTTTTTTTTTTTGATAAATGAGTGCAATTTTATTAATCAAAGAAAGAGTGTACAGTTAGCTTAAAAGGAGGCACAAGGTGTAAACTCCCCTTGGAGCTGAGCAATATGCAAATAAACACACACTAGCCTGAATTACAATTATAAGGTTGCCAAAACAGGTCTCCCCTTGACACCCCTTGTTAAGCCAAAGAATCAGCCATTGCATTTGCCGATCTGCTAACCCACTGAAACCTAACTGCCATATTTCTTGTCAGCCAGTTAACTTTCTTCAAAAGATCCCTGTAACCCCAAAAGATTGTTTCTAGATTTGTCAGCCAGACCACTACCACCTTGGAGTCCTCAACAATCAAGTTTTCCACTCCAAGTTGACTAGCAATATGTATGCCTTGTATTGCTGTTAGTATTCAGCCCTTCTAGAATCACCAACACCCACTGGTCCTGAGAATAAAGATAGGATGTTGCTGTCTTTATCTCTCAGAGTCCCTCCTGTTGGAATGTTAGCTTTATTTATTATGTTTGTATTCTGCAAAGTTAGGGTCCGTTTAAACAAATTAAAGCAGTTTTTTCTTTTGTTTTTTATGCTGTAACTTAAATAGGGGCATAAGGGTCCTTTCCCTTCTAATTATGGTCGCCCAATATATATATTAATATAAGCTGGCGCCGCCAGCACTGTAGCAGACTCCAAATCTCTTCTCTCTTCTCTCCTCTCTTCCTCTTGTCTTCTCCTATCTCTCTTCTCCTCTGTTCGGCTGTTAATATGGTATCAGAGCGGTTCTGCTAGGCCTGTGAGCAGATCAAACAAGCTTCAACCTGCTGTCTTCTTCAACTGAGATAAAAAAAGTGCAGACCAACGACTGGTACAGATTTTTTTAGTGTTTTTTTTTCCTTTCCTTGGTCGTGTACCAAGAAGAAACTATGACTCCAGACTGCTGAATGTTTTCTGAGAAGCTGTCGAACCTCTTTTTTTTTATGGATCGTGTGATCCCATGTCTGAGAATTCAGATCTGTAGGTCGTGGATGACCTGATCTTTTAACCCTTGTGGTGTAACCATACTGGTTTATGACCCCTCCTAGCAGTCGATGTATTTGGGGTGTCTGGATGTTGGTGGAGTGTGACTGCTAGGTCAGATCAGCTCTGAGATCACCCTAAAATCTTGCCTTTTTTGGACAATCTAGGCTGGTCTGTGGTCAGATTGTGTCCAGATTGCAGTGTGTGCATGTGGGCTTCATCCTTGGTGTTTCTAGGACTGTTTGTTTGGTGATAGGAGGGATCATAAGGCGTGTTTAAGGTCTGAAAGGTGTTTGAATCATGTCCTCTGAGAATTCTGCAACTTCAGGAATTTCAGGAGGTCAAAATGGAATGAGTGGGGGGATGGATATGAGTTTCCCCATGGCTGTAATCCCCTTTGATGGACTGAACTATCTTGAATGGTCTAGGGGAATTAAACTTTATATTACTGCTAGAGGAAAAATTGGGTATATTAATGGTAAAATCAAGGAACCAAAGATTGGTAGTGTTGAACATGACAGATGGGACCAAGAAAATAGCACGGTGATGCCATGGCTCTTGGTTTCCATGCTGCCACAAGTAAGGAAGACCTTTATGTGGGCTGAAACAACTTGTGAAATATGGGAGCAAGCAAAATCTACCTCTTCAGAACAGAGACACTATGCAAAGTTATATCAATTATAAGCAGAATCCTCCACTTGCAAGCAAAGAGGAGAGGAGTCTCTCGGTGTACTATTCAGGCTTGACATCAATTTGGAAGGAACTGGATCATTATCAAAATGTAAATTGGAAGTGTGATGAGGATGCAAAGGCCTACAAATCATTTGTTTCCCAGCAACAGGTATTTGACTTTCTTTTGGGGCTGAATCCTACATATGAATCCATGAAGGTACAAATCTTAGGAAGTAAGAACCTACCTTTAGTCCAAGAAGTTTATGCCCTAGTTCAGTCTAAAGAGAGCAGAAGAAGTGTGATGAATTGTATAGAAGGGGAACCGATTGCACTAGCTGTCCGAGGAGGTACAAGTTCAAATGTTGGAGGTTGTTTTAAAAAGGGAGATTCACAAAAGAGAGTAAATGACAAAGACAAACTTTGGTGCACTCACTGTCAAAAGTTCAAGCACACTAGAGACATATGTTGGGATCTTCATGGCAAGCCGAAATGGGCAGGAATTGAGCAAGAAGTCTGATCCGAGTAAAAAGCCAACTCAGCAGAGTCAGAAGAAATTAAACTCAGCAAATGTGGCATCTCAAGAGACTAGTCCCATGGTACCCCAAGAGAGACACTCTGGTTTTGACCCCAAGGAAGAGATCGTCAACTCCTTCCGTGACCACTTGAAATTATATGGTAGGACACTTCGCCAGATGGATTCTGACCCTACTCCTTCTACCTCATTTGCGTCTACATCAGGTAACACTGCCATTGCCTTCCATGTGTCATCTCATACATCTGATTCCCCTTGGATAATTGACTCTGGAGCCTCAAACCACATGATTGGTAAGTCAAATTTATTTCAAGCATATAACCTCCTCTCTGGGAGAGATAAGGTGAGACTGGATGATGGGTCTTATTCCACCATAGCCGGTCAAGGAACCATCTCCCTTCCTCTTGGTCTTACCCTCTCTAATGTGTTGCATGTTCCTAAATTACCTATCAATTTACTTTCCATTACCAGTATTACTCATTCCTTGAATTGTTCAGTGACCTTTCCTTCTTCGTGTGTGTTTCAGGATTTGACCTCGGGGAGACGATGGATCTCTTCATCGAAGCTCTTGTGCCAGGACACCTCATACAACACATGCAGCATAATAATTTGTGTGACAAGTTGGGCATGATTGACATCCATGTCCCAACTTGAGGAGGAGTATTAAAGTAGTTAGGGTCCGTTTGGACAAATTAAAGCAGTTTTTTCTTTTGTTTTTTATGTTGTAACTTAAGTAGGGGCATAAGGGTCATTTCCCTTCTAATTATGGTCACCCTATATATATATATGTATATATATATTAATATAAGCTGGCGCCGCCAGCACTATAGCAAACTCCAAATCTCTCTCTTCTCTCTTCTCTCCTCTCTTCCTCTTCTCTTCTCCTACCTCTCTTCTCCTCTGTTCGGCTGTTAATACCTCCTATGCCCAAGGGCCACTAGATTGCCTCGACTGTTTCCGCCAAAATTCAATTTTACCATTCCTTCCGGAGGGGTTTCCATTCTGCTTGTAGTTTGTTCTTTGTGGAGGGTGTGAATGCCATTGCTGCCCAATTTCTCCTTAAATCATCAAAAGAGTAATCCACAATCAAGTCTAAAGATTTCAACCAAGAGGTTGTCCTTGTCATTATATACTCCTTTACTTCAAAAAGGCTTCTTTTATTTTCTTGAAAAATTCTAACATTCCTCTCCTCCCATAAAGTCCACAAGCTAGCTGCTCTGATACACTTCCACATTAGCTTCCCTCTCTTTGTCAATCTCCTAAAGGCAGAGGGAATAAACACCATATTTACTTTAGAGGGCAAGTTCCACTTGCACCCAAATAATGATAAAACCTAATTCCAAATATTGGCAACAAAAGAGCAAGATATCAACAAATGGTGACAGTCCTCACTCTTCACTTTTTCACATAAAGCACCAATTTGGGGGCAAGCACATAAAGGTTTCTTCTTTTGCGAGTTTTCCGCAGTATTGATCCTACCATAAAAGGCTTCCCAAACAGAACACATCTATTTTAGGAAGTATTGGCCTTGACCAATCGGGGTTAGAGACCAAATCCTTCTATCAGGCCTAGGGGGTCCAAACACACAGAGTCTGGGGGCAACAAGAGCTCTGAAAACACAAGCAGATTCATCATCCTTTAAACCTCTTCGAAACCCAAAGTCCTTTCTTCATTTCTTTTTTTTTTATTTCTATTAACACCAACATTTAGGACAACAAGTGGCAAAAAACTCTCCTCAAGTCATTGCTTTGGCCAGCCTTCTTGTGAAACACTCTTTGGTTGCGCTTTATCCAAATGGACCAGACCACTACCACTAAGATGAATACCAGATCAATTTGCCTCTCCTTGATAATCCTTTGATGTATTGGTTACTTAAACTCTTAAAGAAGCATTTTTATTTTTTACCCTTTTACTAGAATAGAACTTATTTAGGATGTCAAAAACCTATTTAAACACTAAATTTTCGAGTTTGTCCACTACCATGTGTAGGTTAATGAGAAATTCTATTTGGGTTAATCAACTTTTAAGTGAAACTTGATTATATAATCTTGTAGTGTGCAAACAGGTAAACTTTAATGTATACACATATGATGGATGTGGTTTGAAAATGAGGCAAACTCGTCTTTTAGGATTACATGCAAATTAAGAGGTAATGTTAGGATTGTTAAAGGTTAAAAGAGAAACCTCTTGCAGAATGAGAAATGCATAAGATTCCTTTAGGAAGGTCTAAGTATATGGTACTCAGAAATTAAAAAAAAAGAAATGCAGCCTATGTGCACAATGCTGGGACAATGGTATATGTTTTTTAATGGTAAAAAGGAAAAAAAAATTATTAAAACAGAAAAAAAAATGCAATGTCTCAGGTGATACATTTTCAGCAAAAAGCAATACAAAAGAAAAAAAGACAGAAAACATCAAATGCATTCCATACATAGACCCAAGATTGCCTATAGATTGGATCCACAATCTGCTCTGTTTATACCTCCAAATTCAGCATGAGCTAATGACAAGTCCAAGATTATGGAAGATATAAACCAATCACTTTGTTTCCCAATATATCTTTGTTTTCAAATACACATAGCATGAGCTAACTCAAGGAGTGTTGAAAGAACATCCATCCAAACAAAGCTACCCTGAGCAACCCAAAATACAATGATAAAAATCTTCAAAGGAGAAAAAAAAAGAATTCAAAATAGCTTTCAGCAAAATCCAGAAATAGCTCTGCCACCGGTTCAATGATAAAATATCACAGAAAGAGAAATATCAGACATCTTTCACCTTTATCCACCTCTGAAATGGAAGAATCCCCAAGGACTAAAAAATATTACATAATACTTTGTGGAAGATGGCATCTTCAACTTAGCTTCAAGTTTTTTGCTGGAAGAAGCTCATTAAAATTAACACCTGCGACCTGCTCCAAAATGAAAATGAATTCCTAAAGTATTTCCCTCAGGCTTATAACTTGTGTCTAGCAGATGGGGAGATTAAGAATCATCTATTTTCTCTTCTTTAGAGTATTCAGGCCCCCCTATGGATTGTATTGTACCCCCCTTAGTGCTCATGCAAGAACAATGTAGGATGCCTATTTTACATTTTGCATTTTGCCTTTTGGGGTACTTGGGGGCAGAAACATGATAAGAGTTTTTGAGGATAAGAAAAGGCCCTACCAGGTGGTCCACAGGTCAAAATCCATTCAGTTGACTATGCAACCATCCTTCCTTTAGGAAGCTAAAGCATAATGGTTTTTCTCAGATGGTAAAGCATCAGCTAGAAGCATAACCCATGTAAATTGAGATTCCATAGTCAAAAGTATTCAGAGGGTTTAGACATCATAGATTTTCTGAGATGTCTCCACTAACCCCATCATTAAAGAATGGCTCATTGTTGTGAGATCCAAGCCCCCTGAAATAAAGATCATTCAATTCTTGTTGCCTCAGAATTCATAAATAAAGCTCTATAAACCTAAATTTTGATAAATGTTCTCTTGAATGATCCAGGACCTCAGGAGATTTATAGCGGCACTCAACCGCATTAATCTCAAAAGAAGGAAGACACACATACATAAATATGCATACATGCAAGCACATACAAATTGTAGAAGTAAATTTGTTCATATTGTTCCTACCAACCGTTCAATGCTTAAATACCAAGCTTTGATTATACATAAGAGATGGGAGATTGAAAAGGATGCTGCCCAGATGTTTAGACTTTAGAGTGCCATTGATTAAGATGAGAAATGCTCTTTTACATGTACAAAAGAAAGACCAATTAATTTGGGGAGGGTTTAAAGCAATAAGACATCCACGCTATTGTTAGATGCAGGTGTTGCAATGGATGGGTAGCAAGACTAGCAGTGGTATATACATGGGAATCAAGGGGAAGCCACAATAGGTGAAATGATGAGGAAAAGTTGTTTGATGGTAATATGCATCAAAGACCGATTATACAATTGAGGAGTAGTTTGCTGCATTTTGAAGGTGTTGGAGGAAGTAGGAGTGACAAGGAGAAAGAAATTGAGGACCTATAATTTAACAATAAAAAATATTGTTCTAGAACAAAATGAACACAGAGTAGGATACATGCAAGTGAACAGAGAAGGAGAAAGAAATTGAGGACCTATAATTTAACAATAATACATGCATGGTTTCTCAAACCATGCATTTTAATTATATATACTAAAACATTTCAGTTGAAAAAAATTTTATGCCCCTTTTATGTCAAAAAAAGGACCACATGTTTTTAATCTTATTATTGTGTTCTCTTTAATTTTAAGTCCATCTGCATATAAATAAGACTCCTTATTGGAGTTCTATTGAAAATTCAAATCTAAATAAACTGTTCCAAGTGAGCAAGTTCTCTCTGGATTTTTTTGTTTGTTACTTTTTTTGGTCAATATTAATAAGTAAAAATATTGTGAAAAGCAAAGAAGATGATTGAATCAAATGTGGTTGTTCAAAAAATCAACGGAACTTGAATTTAATCAAATTCAGATCCATTTGGCTTATCAAATCATATTCAGATAGTGGATTCAGGTATTTGGATCAAATTAACTACCCAGATATAATCATATTCTAGCCTAAACCTTACTCCAGCCCTAAAATTAGTCATTCCCCCTAGTATATGGCTACTGTTTTCCTCCTTAAGCCCCTCCTTTTCTGGTGTCTAGGTTGTTGCCTATCACTTGTGTACAATATGCAGAAGTACATATTTTCCAAGAACTGCACTATAGGTGGCAGTGCCCTTAGTTCACCATGTGATAGAATGATGGGTTTTGTAGGAAAACTTTATATTGAGAAACTATACCTGAAATGAAATTGAATTCCATACCGGTACTGTCATTTTGGAAGGAGAATAAAGGAAGAATAATTAGCAGAAACAATTGATGAGATAACAGAAAAAAAGTAAAAAATGATGAAAGAACCTTATCAGGATTGTTTTTAGCAAGCACTGCTCCCACTGCACCCCCAAGTGACCTTCCAAAAACAACTATTCTAGATGTGTCAATGTCAGTTCTCTGAGCTAGATGATCCAATGCGGCCTAACAAAAAAAAGAAAGAAAATTGTACTAATCAAATTCACGACTGAATCTGTCTAAACAGTAAAAATAAAATGAAGGATAAGAAGTGACTGAAACACTAAAAGGAAAACAAACCTGAGCATCCTTTGTAATACCATGTTGAGAAGGATAGCCATCACTTGCTCCATATCTGTTTAAAGATTTTTTTGCTCATTCAGTGAAATAAGTTGCATATGCATGGAAAATGAAGTCCATGATCCAAGCAACACCAAGAAGACACCAGATAAAACCATTGAAACATAAAAACAATACAAACCCTCTGTAAGAAAGCATAAACACATTGCATTGTAACCTCTGCAACATTATACGAACCATTTCAAGTCGGTGGGCAATATCTGCAGGTGAAAGTAAAGGTTCTCCAAAAGAAACTATACCCAATTACAAATACAATATAACAAATAATAAACCTAGCAGAAGACCCTTGATGGCATAGGGAATGGCACAATTAGGATACTGCCAGCATTTTCTTGGAAAAAAAGAATGGTTGGACCTGCAATAACAGTAATGAGTGTTATAGCCTTAACCATGCAAACATATACACAAAAAAGCAAGAACTGAGAAAATGTTACAGCCTTGTCAGGCATCAGGATTTTTCAGTTGTCTGGCTGTATGGCAAAACCAAAGGTTTGATACAATGCAAGAAGTGAATCAACAAAAAGAGGAGAGTGACTACAGGCTATATATTGTAGGAATATGCACAGAGAATAGCCGTCCAACATACAGATAGTAGGAGGCCAAGCCACAAGTGTTAATCAAATTCCATATTATTTTGCACTTCAACTAGGTAGAAAAGAAGCATTTCTTAAATAGGTCATTTGAAGTTCACTAGAAAAAGTTAAGAACTTCTCTATTTCAGCCATGCAGAGATGGTTGGCATTGCAAACTTTACCTGCTCAAAAAATCCTACTATTCCGGATTATCTTATGTGATATTAACTGTTGAAACTTCAAAATTTTAATTTACAAAATGGTAGAAAGTAAGTTTTTGTTTTTCTGAATAGAAGGGGAGTTATTCCCTATAAACAGAAGGTGGCAGGATGAATGCATGGAGCACTTTTTGGCTACAACCTAAGCTGCCATGCGGAAGATTCCTGGATCATTTACATGTCCTTTCTAGATTGTTCATCATTTCTAAGTGTGCACAAGCCAAAGCAGTAGCTCGTAGGATTAGGACCAGGCAGCCGGTAGAGAAGGGCGTAGTGATCCAAGATGGTATAATCTCGGCCAACAAAATCTTCTATTGCATAGGGTATGCCAAATTGCATTTGTGCAATCCCACCTCATAAGGAATTTATGGGCAACAAAACTCTTAACAAATTGAACTGAGAAAAGAAAGAAGATATACGTTGCTACATAACCACAGCATGTGGAACTTCTTTTCCTCCACATCACTACATTATGCTACTAAAACACTACCATAGAAAAACATATGGATAGGTGGGAAAACGAAATTAAACACTAAACAGCGCACATCAGTAACATCAGTTTCTCAACAGATTGGGGTCAAAGTCTAGCCAAAAAGTGGAAAGTTAAAATTTTTAAAACAAAAAAAAAGGAAAATAGAGATGGTAATATCTAAAAAGGTCAAGTAGTCCAGAACAGTAAAAACCCTACCCTAAACCAAAGGAAAGCACGAAGAGTGAAATCCAACTTAAAGAGATAAGTGAGAAGAATAAGAAAAAAAGCCCTAGACATAACCTAGCTTCAATCCCTTTGTACGACACAAGAAAACGATAAAGGGAAAAAAACGGAAAGAGCAATAAAGACACAATTAAAACCCTTAAACATGGGTAAAGATGAAAAAGTCCAATACCCTAGCTAGAATTTCTCTTTCCTTCGACGAAACTGATAAACAAATCTAGCATTAGAATTCGAGAGGAAAGTAGCAACATTACTTAACGAATGGGATTGAGATGCGAGAAATGGAGAGAGAGAGAGAGAGAGAGAGAATGACCTCTGCAATCAGGGAAGAGCTTGATGAACCAGGAATGAAGTCGTACTCCATCGGAGGATGTCAACCAGACATCCTCGTACATAAGCCGGAGACGGGCGGGTGTTATTGGATAAGACTTGGTGAGACCAGGCAGAACCGGGACGTAGACCAGCCTCTCTTGAAATGCCACCAACAGTGCCATCCCCGCCACCACTATCCCTCCCACTCCATACAACAACAAGCTCACATACGACACCATATCTTCTTACTCTGTCTCCAAAACTATCCACAATTCTCCGCAGAAAGAAAGAAAGAAAGAAAGGAGAACTGCGACTTTGGTTTCGTCAACAAAGCGAAAATAGTGGGGGAATTCGATTCGATTTGGTTTTGGGTAAAACGAATCAATAATAATACGAAGAAGAAGGGAGATCGGAGGGCTCCCCCTTGCCTTCCCTCTTTCTTACTTTGTTTTTGTTTACTTTTAAAAGCGAAAAAAACTCTGGATCACCTTGTTACACTCTTCTCAAAGGTGGATTTAGAGCCGTTACTAGCAAGGTTCGAAACCGCATCGTGTATGGGACTTGCCCAGTTGCGTACCAATTGAGCTACTACTTGGTTGTTGATAAACAGTGACATCGATTGAACAAGTCCGTTGGACTTTGTTTGGAACCATTTGCCTTTCATAACTATTTCATTTTCCAAAGAATCAAGTAAATTTATGCCCCTATATGCATCATTTTTTGGGTAAATTACAATTACCCCTTTTAGTGTGGAGGGCTTAGTGACAATTATCCCTAAAATTTTATTTTCAACAAAACCACTTTGCGACAAAAGGTCGAGTTTAGTCATTTAATTTTGAAAAAGATTCTCATTCAATTGTCTAAAATTTTTTAAATTCCTAAATTATCCCTTCTTATTTATTTGAACAATTTGTGATTTGATTAATTTTCTAAATATAATATCAAACTCCTCTTGGTTGCTCTAAAAGATCCTTTATATTTTTAGATGGATTCAATACTCAGATGAAATTAATAGGATTTTTTTTTATAGATGTAAATTTAAGACTTTATTTGATTTTTCTTGATGTATTGGAGAAAGGAGTGGGTAGTTTTTATATTTTAAGACGAATAGAGGCCTTTATGTCACTGAAATAAAATAAGAATTTAAAGAAACTGCTTTTTTTTTTTTTGTATGTCAATGAAATGACTCCTGTTACTTTAGCTGGAGTCGTTTAAAGAAAATTGAGGTAATTTTATAATTTAATACATTCCGTTATCTTATTTAACAGTCAGGCATATTTGTGGCTAAGTGAAAGTTTAGAGAGGTCCTGTTTAAAATGAAAGTTCATGGGAATAATCGTCACTCGATCACTGTCGCTAAGGGGTTCTTTGTAATTTACCTTTTTCTAAAAACACTTAAAAAAAACCAATGAGATGGAGATTTGTACAGGAGATTTTAAAATATTTTCATTGTATTAAGGGTATGACGTATCAAGAAGCTGACAGCTTTTTCAAAATGTAAATGCCACATCAAATTGATTGATCCAAAAAACGCCATTTCGATGATTAAAATTGCTTCCTAAGCAAACCCAAAGCATAATCATTAAGTACAGCAATGGTTTCTCAGAATATATAGTTAGTTAGTTCGTCAAATTCGATTATTTTTTTTTTTTTTTAAGTAACAAGTTGGTGAAACAGAGTACTCATGATCATACGTATTGATTTCCTGGGTCCCTATCTCTTTTCAGTTCCTCATCCAGGCTAATTTCCTGATATTTTGATGATGCATGCATACATGTCCAGTTGTATACTAACGGGGATTTGAAGCTCCCAGAGCAGAGAATATGGAAAACAAGGACTAACTTCAACCTGGAGTTCCCTTATAATTGTTTTTGTAGCCATAATAATCGATTTCCTCCCTGCTGGATGAACATGGCCACCTCGTAAGGCTCTGCCCTCTAACCTATTCTAATCCTCTTGGAATTACATAAAAACCAGGCTTTGCTTGATATGGAAACATTTGTTGCTTCCATCCATCACCCGCTAAGGCTATGTTTGATTTGAAAACTTATAGAGTTTATAAAGGTTTTCCTATTTTTTCCTTCAAAACACAGCCTAAATGTCAAAAGTGATATTGTAGACGTTCCATGGCGGCTTATTCTCGTAAATACAATCGACGATCAGCTATGAATCTCCTTTCACCATTATACTGGTTCGATGAGACTCGTGTCATTACCATTGAAATCCAAATCTCAAGTCTCAAACTCTCTACCAATCACATTAAACTTTTATTTTTCGTCAGTTCAAGTTTCATAATGTGTATTTTCATGTTGACCACACCTCTTTTCCCTTTTGCAGTTAGGCACTTAGGCCCCATCATACATCCAATAAAGTATATACAATGTTTGGCAAAAAACACCTGAAATCGGATTCGTTCCTCACAACACCCTTCTCACACTGTCCTCACAGCCCCTTGCATGAATAAAAAGATGGGAAAAACCGAAAAGGCTGTGAAGACGGTGTGAGCACTGAATCTGCCCTCAAAAAACCTAGAAAGTCCAAATATGCTGTCCTTCATGGAAAGAAACAGGAAGAATCACATTAATTCTGTTTGGTCGTAACGAGGTTGAGGATTTGAGACGCCAGAACCAGGCAAACTACCAACACTACGATCAAATAAACAACCATTACAAAGTACTAAACCCAACCCAAGTGAAGCATAAGTGTCATAGGCAGCAGAGCGGAACCTTGTGAACAGAGAGCCTTTCTTCAAACAATTGTCAAATTCCCCAAATACCTCAAAAAGATGAAACAAGTTGGTAATGATGGTTTTACTAATACACTTCGTCTTCTTATGGGAATCCTACCTTCTAGCCATCAAAGAACTAAGTATCAAAGCCAAGGATGAATTGCCAAAGGAACACCAGACAGCTGCCGATCTGGTTGTGCTCCTCTCCGTCTCTCATCGCATGATGGGAACACGGAGTTCGGATCCATTGCACACGATGCCAACTCCACCACTTTGCATGGAATGACCCCCACGGGGTGCATAAACTGAGAACCTTGGATCTGGCTGCCGGCAGATTTCATCACTATTGGAAATGCTAGTGATATCAGAGGTGGCTGAGGCGCCTGCAGTCCCTGTCTCTGACTGAAGAACTTCAGACTCCGATAGATTTCTACCCTGTTGTAGAGAAGCAGAGTCCAAGGCCTCGTGGCCATCAGAAGCAACAGACTTGGTCTCCTGAAGCTTCTTTGTGTCGAGGAACCGTCCTCCAGAACCCCGAGCCCTCCTCAGTGCATGAAGATGTCGAGATTCATGAAGATATGGCTGTAAATAATTGTTAATTTAGAAAAGGAAATAAGTTTCAGAAGAAATAAAGGGACAAAGAAGGCAGGCCCGGGGGGTAGCCAAAGTAACAAACCTTGCGTCCTTTGGCAAGCTTATTTTGAGCCTCAAGCTTGGCTCTCGACTGTCTCCGTCTGAGAATTCCACGATATTGTTTTGCATTGACATAGATGGGTTCATCATCTGTAACATCAAGAGGCAATGGGACTCGTGCAGGTACCATCCCAATCATTTGCGGATGAATCTGTTCAAGTTCCAACAATATGCATGTCATATAAAAGATTAGCAGGTGGCATTCTTTGGTAGCAAGGCGCTTCAAATAGTCATTTTCCACATAAAGGTTGGATTTTTTGACAGTGGCAGATTACAATCTTATACCACGAGATTGGCACCATTAGCTTTCTGCTGTCACGAAATTTTGACCCACAACCCTCTCCATTGACCTCATGCCCATGGATGCCATGATTTAGTTCCATCCTGTATTATTATCCCATTCCACCCAATATGCTCTCGGTGCCATACAAAACAGATTGAACTCCAATGATTCTACTGCCCTTGGTACTGGAACCCGCCAAAGAAATTTAATATGGATGTAAATGATCAATTGGATGTTCCACCAACTTCATTTTGCAACTAGACCCACTTGATGGGAATAGATATGTACTGATTCTTATGGTCAAATTAGGTTCAGATTTAAATATGAAACAGAGAAACTCCAGCACTTCCAAGACATCACAACTTGAGTCAAATCTGGAGATAAATTAAGGGGGAAAAAAAAGAAAAAGAAAAATATACTAGTAGACACCCTAGTATTCAAGTTGGCTATGATCTATAACCATTAACAGCATACTCTAGACCAAGTCAACTTTATTTAATTGCCTAAAACACTTCTGAATTGGCAATTCATGTAAAACAATTGTCATTTTCCAAACCATGTAAATAAAACAAACCTGCAACCAAATTATTGCACCCTAATTGTGAAACTAGTACAAATAGCATTGTAGTCTTCAAAAATTAAAGAATAAATGGAAGAGGAAGAGAGAAGAAAGATAGTTTAGGGTTAAAAACATCAACATAATGCTGTCTCATATAGTCACATGGGAGAGCCTTCTTATATTAAAACTATTCAATAATTACAAGGATAACTTTCTTGAGGCTATAGGAAATAAGAAAAGAAATGGTTGGAGCCAGAAGAAATGGTTTCTTCTTCAACCATTTCTTTTCTTATATTAAAACTATTCAATCTGAGATCTTTTTTGAATTTTCTTTCCTTTCTTCTTTTTCTTCTTATAAATATGTTGATTTTCTATACTTTAACATGAAGTTTATACTTTTCTTTTGAAAATTATGGATAATTATTAAGGAAATATGGTTATGGAACCTGGGGAACTACCCTAGGATATATGTCCTGTCACCCAGCCTCGCCTTGGGGCCTTGAAAACTATGGCTGTAGGATGAGGAAAAAAATCGTTCTTGGGTGTTCCAGGCATGTGAATAAAGATCTCAGATTTGATAGCAAATCTCAGATGCTTGGAGCCAGTTCCTACAACCACAATTCACTATTTTAACTTTTAATCATTAAATCAACTCTAAAGTCCAATTATAATGGCTCTATTTTTTGACTCAACATAAGGGTTCAAATCTCCATTTATAGACTCCATTTTAGACATTGTCTCCTAGTTGCATTAAAACTAAGGTAAAGCTATAACCCACAAGAAGACTTGGATATGGAACCTACTAATAATCCCACTAGAACAAAGCAAACTAAAACAACTAATAAAGCCAAGAAATTAAAGAGACTCAAATCCCATCACAAATTGACACCCCACCAATAGCTGTATCTTTGTTAAAACACACCAAACCCCTTGCACAGACATGATATTGCATTCATCTTATGCATTTTCCTCCAACCCAAACTCTGTTGTAAGAATTTCAACACTTTTGAAGACCAAATTAGGTGGAGGGTATATGACTCACTATACTATGCTGATTGCTTTTTCTAAAGAATTTAAACACCTAAGTCTGTAACACTTCTGGGACAGATGTGAGAGTATCATTCACAGGGATTAGTGATGTTGCCTCTCATTTTTCATCGGTAGATGCTACTTAACTGTATATGTTGACCATATGCCTTTAATCCTTGAGGGTTGAAACTCCCCAATAGAACTCTGCAGAGTGTGGGTGTTTAGTCTTGTACATCTCCCTACCCAAAATTTCTCTCTTTCTTAATGTTGTATTCATCTACCTGCTAAAACAGGGCTATATTTTCACAAGTAATCAAAAGCTGCTTTACAGTATATCACCCTCTGCACTCAAAAACAGTACAACAATTAAATACAAAACCCAATCTAGAAAATGAACTTTAAGTCTTTTGAGAGTTAAAGATCAACCCATGAGAAGGCTGCTTGCACAAGCAGAAAGGCAATCCAGGAAACTACTCTCTTACAACAATCTAAGCCCCTATAGGGGGAAACAAGCTCGAAATGAGGTTATATCCATAAATTAGAGAAAGACAAGATATTTGATGGCACTTACAACAGCTTGTGGCCCATAAGCAGCCAAATACCCATTCATATATGGTTCAGCATAAGGGTATGGAATACGAGCCTGAAATATCAATTATGAAGCATTAGACCAGCATCCACAGCTACAACTATCTACCTGAAAAAATGGCATAAACTAACCATTGACTGACTGTAACCAATTTGAGAAGGGAAAACAAAATCAGGAGTCCCCAGAGGCAAAACTGGTTTTGTCTGACTTTCTGCATGCTTTCCATAATTGTCCAATCCTGAAAAAATGTTAGAATGGAAGTCAAATTAGGTATGTGCCACCAGTGAAACATGGGCATCTGGGAAAACCTATAACCTTGAGAAGAAAATCCCATAGTTTTGAAAACAGATGCCCTTCTACAGATGTCAGACCTGTTGGAAAGTTAGACAAAGTGCCAACTTGATGCAGCCAGAAACGAGAATAATGACATGAATAGCCATGTTCAGGTTCAAGACCCCAGAGCTAAAAGGAGAACTTGACGTCTAAGATACATCCATTAAGTAATGTCAAGATATTGAACTTTATATACAGGAAACCTAATGCTCTAGGAACCAGAAACCAAGAAATTACTCGTCCAATTTCAAATAAATAAATAGCAAGAAATGCAAATGCTGGTATCAGAAGAGAATGACAGAAGCCTCTACAGTTTTACTAGACACTAACTTTGCCTTTCAAAATCACACAGTACTTGCAAGTCAAATGTCTTTTCTTTTCTTGATGAGTGATTAGTGAATCAAAATAGGAAGGCAAAAATAGCAGAGACACATAATGTAAATAAAAATGGAAGGTGCCATGAAAAGGCAAGATATACAAAGGCAATAAAAAGTGGGATAAAGCAAGATTTACAATACAAAGTGGCAACTAAATTTTCTGTGGATCTAAGACTACTAGTAGAGAATAAAAATAAGAGTACTTTTATCTGTTGAAGAAAAACAGTCCAATGAATGAAAAAATCTCATGAGACACCAAGAAATGAGAACATGAAATGCAGAGACAGAATAGAATTTAAAAGCAAAAGGAACACCAGTGAATGCCACAAACTAATGGGCCAAAAGTGTCAAGCACATCCTAAAACAACGCATTCTTGATCCATTGCCACAAGGTGCAATAGTTCTTTGTTTTCACTCATAAGATGAAGTAAACATCTCAAAACAAGTTGCTAGATACCATGGACAGCCTGTCTACTGAGGCTTTCAGCAACTGAGTAGGATTCTTCTGGAAGCATCTCCACTTTATGCCATGTAATTAGTAGGATCAAAATGGAATATATAGGGATGGTGACTCATCAAAGGAATTCTTTATAATGAGTAGGGAACTTCAATGTAGCTTCGAAAGAAATGGCAGAAGTAAGACCAGATGCCTCAGAAAGGGGAAAAAAGATTTCCGCTTTGTCCAATTTTATATTAGGTAAATTATAAAAGATGGTCATCCACATCTCACAAACTAGAAGCATACTAGAAAGCATTGCAAAATGTGTATAACTGAACTTCAACCCACTAGAGACATGGTACAACTAGTGTCACCCTTAGTCCATCAATGTCAACAATCATGAGTTAAATAGAAATAATGACAACCATATAAAATTTAACACAAGTAAAACATTGAATTTTTTTTTTATAATTAAAACATTGAAAAATTTTATTTGATTATGAATAATGTATACCAGATTGTGTTGAAATGAATTGCCCATGATGGTTTCCTCCTGCCACAGTTGTCACTTCATGGTGAGATTGTCCGGTTGATTGAGTTGAGGATGATTCCTGGTCCTGTGGTTGAAGACCTAGTGGTTTCATGTTATGACAGTGTTGGGATTGAGTGTCCATCTTCAAGCTCAAACTTTGAGATATAGACGATGCAGATATTTGTGACCCAGCAGAGTTCAACCACGATGGGCAGCTAACGACACAAGGGGACGTTGACCAGACTGAACTTTGATTAGAATCTTTCTTAGCTATGTTTTGCATTATTGTGCCCTCTTCTCAATTTTTTTTTCAGTATATATCAAAATTAAGATATGAAATCTCCTATATCCTCAACAATGTCTTGAACTGCCTAGGAAGTGCCTGCATAAAGAACCCCAATAACCAAGTACGATGAAGCCATCCAGCTAATATCAAAGTTTGATGCAGATCAAAATGACATTGCAATACTGGAACTGAAGCCTAGATATATTTAATTTGATTGCAATATTATCACAAAATACAATGTAGATCCACCATTCAAATTGATATCAAATGTTTCTATTCACTAAATCACTGTCCACATGAACAAGTCACATACTCTCGGTACAAAAATTTGCCCTCCCTTCCAGAAGAAAAGAACTTAAAGAATGGAACAAACCCTTAGTAAGGACCATTGCTAATTTAGAATGGTAACATCAAAAAGCAAATAAATCTTTAAAGAAATTTGATTAATCTTGTGAACTTAATCATGTCAACAACATTGACAACTGCTATCTGCAAGCTACAATGCACAAAAACATAATCACTAAATATTAATATCCATAAACCCCAGATCCTTTGGCATTAGATAACAATAAATGGAAGAACACAGATGGGTAAATCAGTAAAAGATGTTCCTGGAACCACAAATGCCTCCATAACAAGAACAGAGAAAAAACTTTAGGAAGAGGAGCACCTATATAATCCACCCAATCCCAGAACCTACAAAAGGATCAAACCAATACAAAAACAAAGACCTGGGGTTCAGACATCAGACAGACTAACCAACAACCCAACCAAACAAAAGGCCAATAGACCAGTAGAAGATCAAGAAACCCAAGAATCGTTAAATAGAAACAGACAGAGCCAAAATGAGGCTACCTAATCAACAGGAAACTAGCAAACACAGAGAGAAACATGGTAATAAAATGAACACAAACTCCACAACTTCAGGGACTGACCCTGGCAACCCACCCCCACATCATCTAGAAGAACAATTAAAGAATGGTATCTTCATCTAGCCAAAAATGAAAATAAATTTCTTTTCCTTCAGGAAAAAAAAATGGCCACAGAACTATTTACATATTAACATACAGCAAACCAATTTCCTTTCCTCATTTTTGCTTTGAACCAGCATTTTTCTTATGCCCTATTTGCCTGAGCATCTCTTTCACTATTCTCTATTATAGGGAGGCTCACAGGAACTTTCAGCTCCATCACCTTATCCAAAACCAATCACACCCTTATCAACAGCCAAAGAATCATAATGTCATGATGCAGCATGTTGGAGAAGGAATACTGTCTACCATTGCTACAAAATTTAAGATGGAGATTCTTTTTGTAATTAAATTTAAAGTGGAGATTGACAAAATAATAGGGACCGTTACTTGGGTGTAATGGCAAAATCTCTGGCTGGCAAGCATGAAGACAGAGTTTCGAGTCTAAGAGTGGCCACTTTGTGCAAAAAAAATCCAAAATTTAGGACAGTGTCCAGTCTACCCCTCCCAAGTCCCAGGATAGCTGGTACCAATCAATGATTTTAAAGGCATGTGACGCATATGCCTAGAGATGCAACTTCAGGTGAGGCACAATAAAAATGCCCTGAGGCATTGGTGCCTCTGAGGCATACATCTCATGCAACCTAATGTACATTTCATTTAGATAGAAAGAGAGAGAGGAAATGAATGGAAAGGAAAGGATAGGGAAGGGCGCCAACAATTTCTTGGTGCAGCCCAATTTGGTTTCTTGAGCTAGGGGATCATGTCCTTGCTTCTTTCTTGCTCACCTCCGTTTCAACAGAACCCTCTTTCAGCTAATGCTATGCACAACTTCATTCTTCTTAAAGCATGGCATCTTTCATTAAAAATAACTCCTCCTCCTCCTTGAGGAGATTTATGCCTCCTGCTTTCTGAACTACGCCTCACGCCTTTGAATAGTGGAACACCTCATGTCATGCCTCCACAATTTAAAACGTTTACACCAACATTGGGTAATGGCATTTTAGATCAACCGAATAATATATCTATCCGCACCTCCCTCCCTCCCCCCCCCCCCCGGGCAGAAAGAAAAAGGAAGATATGCATAAACAAATATAATGAAACGAGAATCTTTTTTGGTAAATAGTGAGATGAGAAAAGTAGCAGAAAAGAGATACAAATCTAGAAAGTCAACAGAGCTCTGGAAATCTCATGATAATGTTCTTTGGACCTTTTTATTTATGCTATGACATGTTGATTCTTTTTTCCTGTGAGATGATTATGATGATTATAATTTTGATGACTCAAGACATACAACTTACAGTATCACATAAATTAATTTTCTACTATTTTTGTCTGTTTTACACCTTGCATTTATCTTCTCAAAATAATCTTGGAATTTTCAGGGTTGACCAGTCCATAGGTTCATAATCCTAAATTATTCATTTTCCTCCAAGTGGATTAGTATCACTCTAAGAAAAGCTTATGTATATTTTACCTCTGTTTTGTTTTTTTTTTCTTTGATAATTACCTCTGTTTTGTAATTAAACATGTATTTCAATTGAATTCCTACCATTTATCATCTTAACACTTAAAATTTCATACCATCAACATTTCCACTTGTGATTTTCTAACTCCTATTGAGCCATAGGACCCTATAGAAGAAATAATGACAGTATATCCTATCTTACCAGTAGCAATAAAAAAATATCTTACCAGTAATGAGGCAACCTGTGTGCAGTCAATCTTGCTACATCTTTTTTTTTCATAAAAAATGTTTCATAAAAATAAATAAAGTAAAGCTTGAACCAATGTAACTTTAACTGGTATTAGAGCTATCTGGAAGGAAAACGTCACTTCTCAAAAAGGGAAAAAAAAATCTAGGAGAATTCATCTCATTTTGATTTATCCAGCTTACTAATACAAGGTCATCATTTAATACAGAATCAACAGAATGCTAATAAAAGGTGAAATGTGTCATTTTAGTTTTACAGAGAATGAGTACAACTCCGCATTAGATGAAGAAATAATGGTTTTAAATGCGAAAACAAATATGAAATGAGCCCATCTCAAATGTGTCAAAAAGAATACAAATTAATAAGGTAAGGATAAAACGCTAAGAGGCATAGTGATGCCACCTGAAATGAAATAATTTTCTTCTTTTTTTTTTTTTTTTTTTTTGGGGGGGGGCAGTAATCATTTTCTTCTAGCTTTGCAATGCATTAGAAGCTACAAACTTCTAAAATATCATTTCAGAATGCTAATGGAAATCAAAACAAGGTCACTTTAGGATTTCAATAAATGATTCATTTCTATTCGCCATCACCATTAGGGTTTCCCCGCACATTAGGGGAAAAATCCTCCTTTCCACGGTGAACTCTATTTCAGATGACGAATTTATGGGTTGGAATGGTATGAAGGACGAAAATGAAATAACCTCACGCCGCATGGCTTCCAAAACATAACAAAGACGAATCACAAATACGCACAAGTCTTGTCAACTCACCCAACTATTCTGGGTCATTAATAAACCAGTAGCCCATACCACAAATAATACAAACACACTATAAAGAAAATGAAAATTAACCAAGTTCTAGAAGAAATGCACTCGGGCTGTAAGAGGAAATAAAATAGACAGGATATAATTCATTAAAAAGAGTTTCCCCATATGAAAATTCCTTCTCAGGAACGCAAAGCATGCAACAAGACCCACGTCAAAAATCTGCAAGTACAAAGCCAAGAACTAGAACTGTTTTTCCATCTGCATGATTTCAAACTAAAAAAAAAAAAGAAAAAAAAAAAGCATTCCGAAACAACAAATAATAGCAAATAAACCAGAGAAGTGCTTGCATGCTGGTTTCTACAAAAAAAATTATAAGAGATGAAGAACAGAAGTGAAAAGAGAGAGAGAGAGAGAGAGAGAGAGAATGGAAAGAAAACTATATGCACATTTATAGATAAGTCAACAAACAACGAAACCAGAAAGGGAGAGAAGAAAAAGAGAAAAGCGGAGACAGACAGAAAGAAGAAGCCAGAGAAATAAAGAAGAGATGAAGATAAAGAGAGAGAGAGAGAGAGAAAGAAAGAGGGAGATCAGAGAGGACCTTTGGGATTTGGTAAAGTAAGAAGAAGTGCGAAATAGATGATGTTGGGGAGGATCTCGGCATGTCTCCCTTCTTGAAACCTCTTCGCTCTTGGCTTTGCTGCTAAAACTCTGATTTTCACCGAAAACTATGGTCCATTGCTCCTTCCACGCTAAACCCAAAACTCTCGAAACTCTCTCAAATCAGACCATTCAAGCGCACGCTAACTCCCTGCTTCACTTCTTTTTTTTTTTCTCTTTTCTTTCTAAAAAATACCTTTAAATATTATAAATGTACTACTCTTCAGAAGCCAACCACAGTGACCGCACCAAGCCATGCTTGTTCTCTTCTTCCTCTCTCTCTTTCTCTTTCTCTTTCTCTTTCTCTTTCTCTCCTTCTCTCTCCCCTAAAAAGCTCAGCCGCCCTTCCTTTTCTGTTTCTCTCTCCTCCCTTTATGTGCTGTTAATTAATGTTGAACATTTAATAAATAACTAGGGACGACGATTCTTATCTAAGCGCCCAATACTTTCAGTTATTTTCGGAACTGCCACTTTCACAAACCCCAAACTAGTTTCTTTTGCAAGCACAGGTGGTTTCCAAGAATATACAAGGGTAATTTAGTCCCTTTAAAATTTGAGGTCGCTAT